GGCGTTTTCACGCCAACGACTAACCCCGTTCTAGTCCAGAGGGCAAAAATAGTTTAAACGAAAAAGTTTTACTGTAGTAACTCTCGACTCAAGAGAGTCTCGACACTAATTTTGCCAGCATTGTGTTTCTCTCGTCGAGACGCGTCGAATTAACTACATATAATTTGACCCTAAAAGGCCATTTTCAAAATTTGACCTCAGGTCAAGTTCATGACCCGACCGAAGAAGGTCATGTTGCGTATCTGTCGATCCGTATTGTCGAGCTGAACACATCTGAGGTGTTTCCATCGCTCTAGCAGGTCTACCAAAATTTATTGTAAAAGAACTGCTGGGGACCTGCCATAACCTGAGATGACCAAATGCTACTTATCAATCTTTTCAGATAACTATTTTCGGTGGATGCGCAAATCATGAACAGAACAACATTGCTGTCGACGACGTCACAATATGTGGGCCGATGGAGCTAAACCAGGAGTGCAACGCATTGACAACTACCACAGAGCTTACAACAATAACGGAGGTCCCCACCACCCGCTGGACGGAGGATCCCACCACCCGCTGGACGGAGGATCCCACCACCCGCTGGACAGAGGACCCTACCACCCGCTGGACGGAGGACCCTACCACCCGCTGGACAGAGGATCCCACCACCCGCTGGACGGAGGATCCCACCACCCGCTGGACGCCGACCAGTCCGGCGCCCGTTCCGGGCGAGTACTGCGACGATTTCGAGTCGGACGACTTTGGTTTGTTCTGGCGCCAGAGCCGGTGGGACTCGGGCGGCCACTGGGAGCAGAGCGCCTTCTCCCGGCTGCGGGACACGGTGCCCGATTTCCCGGCGCCGGCCAGCGGCGACTGGCTGGTCTTCCTGACGCCGGCGGCGGGCAGCAGTTTCGCGGCCGCCCGGCTGCAGATGACCGCGGAGTTGGTGTTCCCGGCCGGGTCGCGGCTCTCGTTCCGCTACTGGCTGCGCTCCCAGGTGCCGGCCGGCGCGGCGCTGTTCGTCAAACGGTGCGTCGGCGAGGAGGAGGACCGCGATCCGCTGCTGGACCTCTCCGAGACGGCCGCGCCCGAGAACGACCGCTGGAGGGAGGTCAGCGTGGCCGTGCCAGCCGACCCGCGGCCGGCCAAGGTAACGATCCGCCGTGGCCAGCGGCTGGGATAGGTAACAAACCGCCGCGGCCGGCGGCTGATCCCAGCCCGCCGCATACCGCCACCGGCTAGTGTCAGAGTGTAGGTGTGTGAACACAGCAGGCAGGCTAAAACAGATGGTGCTATAGCAATAGTCAGATAACTGTGTATCTAGTGTTGTGGATATGCTTACGGTGTTCAGAGAATATGTATTGTGTATGGACAATTCACTTTAATTCGCTGGACCTTTGCCGAGAACGCAGCTATTTATGTATATACTCTCATCCCTGTCGCCTCTTCTGCGTTTTCTTCATTCCTCAGACGTCCAGCCGCCTGTGGAGCGTCTTTTGGCACCGAACACCTTGCCCTAGTGAGCCTCGATGTTTGCTTTCAGATTATCATATTCGGCTCGCGCGGCACCCAGCCTCTGGACAGCATTGCCATTGACGACATCCGCATCAGCGGGCCCGAGGGCCTCGACCATCAGTGTTTGACCGCGGCTCCGCCACGGCTCGGGTAGCCCAGCGGTACGTGCCACCCCTGTGACGTATCTGACAACACTGGTATTCCGTCCTCTGTGTGACGCCTCTGGTATTCATAATGCTGTAATGTATCTTATCGGCCGCACTGCCTGGATTCCAATGGCATGAGACGGTGTTGGGAGCGGCTCCAGCGTTCCAGAGTCTCCGCCTGGCTCTGGCCGCGGCCCAGCCGCTGACGGAACCGCTCTCTGGACACGGGCCAGCCGCCGACGGCCCCAGTCGGCGGAGATACGAAATCGCCAGCTTCGAATGTTGCCTTCTCTTCTATATGTATTTCTTTATCGTGCACATATTTTACAAGGTCGGGTCTATAAAAGACATTTGATCAATTTGTTTGTTTGTTTTGTTTTGTTGGGTTAGCCCCTTTCGGTCCAATTAGACTATTTCAGAGCCGGAAGGATGATAGGAATTAGGGGGAGACATTGGTCTGGGCAGGCACCCTAGTGAGTCACCGGGGCTGAGCCCATCCCGAAGGACAGGCCGACCAGCCCCAAGGTACTCACTGCACCCGGCTACGGGGTGCGCTCCCTCGGGAGCAGCGGTGCCGCTCCAAGGGAGCAGCCCGCATGAGATAAAGTTGCCTGTCCAGCCCGGAAGGGGGTTGCGGCGTGGAGGAGAAGGATTTCCGTATCCTGAGGATAGAAGCATGGAACGGTGACATTTGATCAACATTTCATACAACTCTTCATCAGCCAGATGCTTCTCCCTCGAGTCAGTTTCGGCTCAGTTTTACATCCACACAGTTTTATCCACAATCCACAGTTTTACATCACTGATTTTGGTATCCTGATTGAAGCTTCGGCGATTGATAAAAAATACGGAGAAATACATACAGCATACAAGGTGGAAAGTCACTACGTGAGCATACTTGTTCGCCTTCTAACGATGGAAAAACGGCAGTGACATGAAAATATTATCAGTTACTATATCCTTGTTTCTGTACAATATACCTACAAAACCGTTCCGCATGATTGACACCACTACCAGGGATGAAGGCAATGCTGGCCAGACCTTAGCCCACGCCTTCTGGAGCTGCCTGGTGAGGTAATCGATGTTGGTGGCTCCTAACTAGTAGAACTCTGATGTTCTGTTGCAGAATCACACAGTGATTTTTCTTTTTTATCGGATTAACCATCGCCGGCCGAGGGGGGGGGGGGCGGGTACCATCCCCCCATCAGTTTTTTTCGCAATAGCTCCGAACACGCTGGCGATAAAGCGTTGAAACTTGGCATACCTGACCTTTGATTCAAGCCGGATCTTTTGACGCCAACTGTATTTTCGAGTCAGGTTAGGTCACTGACCTATGACGTCATAAGTGAACCTCTGCACGGTCTTCATATGTCGCAACTTCGCAACACCCTCACTGCCAGAGGAGCTTTAACAGAGAAATGAAACTTGCAGGATCTAGTATCCATTACCAGTCTCACAGCTTGTATATCTCGGACTTTTTCTAGAGGTCAAAGAAGGTCGGGTCATTTTCGTGACCTCACCATTAAAAGTCAATGGAGAAAAATGAAAACGGCTATTCTGGCGCCGGGAACGATCTCCAACTATCTTAAGCACACAGAATCGTGATTTGGTGCACTCCTTGCAAGGCTCGATGCGTCACTTTTGCGATTTTGACCTTGTGTGACGTCATTTATGACGTCATTAGGGTCACATTAGTTTTTCGCCAATAACCTTACATCAAATTGAGCTAGCGAGTCGGGAAAGCCACCAATGGACTCAGGAAGACCTGCCGAATCGAATGACATGCGGCATGACCTCTTTCGACCAACTTCGTGACCTGGGGGTGCTGACCTGACCTTGACCTGAGGTCAACACCCTAAGTTGACCTGACCCGAACAAAAAGTATATCATTCGACGCGCCTGAGCGAGGCAAACACGATGCTGCCAAAATCGCGGCTCTGCGGCCGTTTTTTTGCGAAGTTATTCACCAAAAACTGAACCGTACCCTGGGGCCCTTGACCTGACCTTAGAGGTCATCGGTTGACCTAGGACCTTAAAATCGGGTATCAATCTCTGCGTTTCGTAACGGCGCACACGCTCGTTTTTTCCGCGACGCGCTAGCTCTACCAGGGGCAAAACGGCGAAGGGGGTCGTACCCCCCCCCCCCCCTCCGCCCCCTCGGCTGGCGCGTATGTAGAAAACCAATAGGTCCGGCGCGGGGGTCTGGGCTATTCCCAGATCAGATAACTCTGCCCAGAAGGATAGGTTCTCACAGCACCAGTCTTGAGTCTTCTGGCCATAGGCGGCGGAACGGGGAGGGCACCGGGGCACCGTGCCCCCCTTTGATTTTGGCATTTTAACATTAGCCCTATGGGCGTTGCATGGAAAGAATGAGACCGAAAGTCGGCGGTGCCCCCCCCCCCTTAATTGAAGGTGCTCCGCCACTACTACTTCTGGCCGTGTGAGGAGGGACTTCAGCAATCACGATGAATATTTTATTTGCTCGGGCACGAAAGTGCGCATAATTATTTTGCCAGTTTTGTCCCGTCGGTGGATTAGAGGAGACACTATTCTGGGAAGATGTTCCACTGGTTGCACTCTTTTATTTTGGTACGCGTAGTGTTGCTAAATTTGTCATACCATCAAAAGCAATATTTTGACACCTATCATAAAGATTTCAGGTCTCAATGATTTCAGGTCAGGCATCCAGGTCGCAAAAAGCCGGTACTAGATCAGGATAAAATTGGGCTAGTTGAGCAGCATCAGAACAACAGAGCCTTTCGTTAAAAGCGTGAGTGCCGTTGCGCATAGCGCCACCAAGCTTCAGACACCACTTGGGACATTCATTTGACACGTTTCCTGGGAGTTTCCTGCCTTTGCACTGCCGCACAAAGGCAAAAACTACTATGTTGGGCACCCAGCCTCTGACCCAACACGACCTGACCCAACATAGTAGTTTTGCCTTTACACTGGGTCACAAGATCACTAGAACCGGTACATTGTCAAAATGTCACTAAAAATACAATATGTTATCCATAAAAACTATAGTTATTCATCTAACTTGATTCAAACTTGCAGGATGTGCTAAAGCTAAGTTAGTCCATACATTTTTTAAGAGTGCCATGTATGAAGAGAAACAAGAAGCTTCAGCTCGGGTGATGGGTCATAGCGAGATCACTTCTGGGCAGGGAATCATGGAAGACATTTGAAGTAATAGGCCATAAGTGATTTATACGTGTTTGGGTGTTTGGATGGGTGAAAATGACCTCGAATTCGGTTTCCTCTCGTCTCTCTCTCCCTCCCCCCGTGCCATCCAGCAGCTGGGGGCTGCCAGGCACATTTCCAGAGCCCTACTAAATCGGGTCCTGGTGCTTCCAGTGCGGCCGTGGGCGCAGTCTGGACGACTCTGATTGGTCGGCAGCGCCTTCCAGCGGGCCGGCCGGCCAATGGGCGTCGCCGGTGCGGGTCGGCCGGCCCGTCTCGGGTGTCGGCCGCGTCGGGTCGCCGGCGGAGGTGCTCTGGCCGAGCTCACTGCGACTTCAGGGCGGACACGGTACGGACTGCAGCCGACCCAGTGTGCGCCAGTGTCTGTGTGTGTGTGTCCGTGTGTCTGTGAGCCGGCTGGCAGGTAACGCGACCCGACCGGCCCGCCGAGTCAGGCCGGGTCCAGTCGGCCCGGCCACCCTAGCACGATATAGGGTGACAACATTAACACGGACTGCAGACTCCGGTGTACCCAGATGTGGCATGCCTCTGATTGAAACCGACGGGAGTCCTATTTTGGGAAATCCATCACGTTTGTAATGTTAAATAATTTCGAAAAATCTGTCAACTCATCAATTTAAGTATCGACAGAAGCACGGAGCTTCAAATACGCATCATTTCCTAATGGGACAGGTGTTGCCAAGGAATGTTGGTCTTTGTGAGTTAGAAGTTGTTGTGACTTAGAGTTATTGACGGAATTTTAATCGCCGGGATCTCTTGTTTGGTTTGCTCCTCTGCTCTGAATGGTTTGTAGCCTGCTGTCCCTCGCTCGGTTTGGTTTGTAGTATGTGTGTGCTCGTCCTCACCGGCCCGGCACGGGACTGGCTCGCCCGTCTGATCTGTAATGCGTCTGTCACACTCACGCCCTGTCCCCGGCCGCTGCCAGGCTCAGTCGGGCCGGCCGTCCGTCTGCCCCTGTTTGTGTGAGAGAGCGGGCAATAAACGTCTTCCCCTGTACACGGTCTTTATCTGTACCGCATGCATTCCGCACGTCCCGTACACAACACGGCGACCTGGTGGCTGGCTGCACATACCACAGGTGTGCGTACTACACGCGACATCCGCCGGTGAGAGCCCAAGCAGATACGATCTCAGCACATCACTAAAGTCATTGGCCATTAGTTGACCTTCCGGGCTAGGTCAATGATACCACCGTCGAGAATCTGGGAACCTACTAGAATTTCTTCAAGAAGAAGCCTTCCTGGACCCTTATTTCGGATTTTGCATTTGTTTTGATCAAAGAAGATATATCCTTGCAGTTGGATTGGTGGGTCAGGCCAGGTCAGATCAACAGGCAAGCGTCCCGTACTTTCATAATAGTTTGATATCTAACCAGTAACCACTGATGCTTTGGCCCTGCAACACGGCGCGAGTCTTACAATATGTTGCTAAAACCAGCTCTCAGTTGTTAAAATGGGCACTCAATTCTAAATCAGCTAACAATGCCTTGTGCTCGGCGCCATCCACGTCGGGCTGAAGGGGGAGGGGTGAACAGCCCCCGTCCAAGTCGACTCCTAGTCCACGTAACGACCCGCGGTAAGCGACGTTTGAAATAGCGTTAAATCACAAAGTTAGTGTCCGGTCCAATTTTGGGCCGGGTCCACCAAATGTCTTTACCTGCGCCGTGCTGGAGGTCTGAGTTTTCCGTGTCGTGCTGGGCGGGAGGGGGCGTCTTCACCTTCCCCGTCTAACTCGGCTCATGGGCCACGTAGCGATACGCGGTAAGCGGCATTCAAAAGAAAGTAAAGAAATAATAACGATGGAAATACTTCGGTAATTTTTTAGGTCATGTCAAAGGTCAGATCCCCACATGCCATTAAAGGTCAAATTTTGTCTATTCCAACAATTTTGGAAACACCGACGACATCGATTTTGCCAGCATCGTGTTCCCCTCGTCGAGATTCGTCGATTGAACCATGATTAGACCTTAAAAGGTCACCTTTAAAATTTCCTCAGGTCAAAGTCATGACCTGACCGGAAAAGGTCATGGTGGATACTAGTCGATCCGTTTCGTTGAGCCGAACACATCTAAGGCGTTTTCATCGCTATAGCATGCATCTCTCGGAATTTATTAGCGAAAAACTGTTAGAGCCCATTTGTAACCCGAGATAACTCCAAGGGATATAAAGAGGGGTCGCGGGTGCCAACTCCCGGCTTAGTGTCATTTTTACTTGTTATTAGGTGTTGGGAAGGGTTAAAAAATAACGTTCGTACAAAAGAGGCGCATTTCAATTTTCTCTCATTGATTTATGATGCGGAGGTCGCAAAATTGATCTAACCTTAGGTCATGCGGACATCGAGTTTCAGAGGCATACCTTTTGTACACACGAGTGGGGATCGGCCACTCGGTGTAGCTATGGCAGACATTGAAACTTTTTATGAGGTGAGATTTTGAAGTGACCTGGTGACCTGACCTGGAATGACCCGGATCTGAAATTTTCACAGCATGTCTGGACATTGAACAGGTCTGTTGTCGAAAACGACGACGTGGAGGAGGGCGTGAAAATACCCCCCCCCCCCAACACGGCGTCAAATTTATCCCTTATTTCAACACTCCTAGAGAAATCGCCGCATAACTTAACCCGCGCATGACTGGGGTATTTTCCATAACGCGAGTGACGGGGGGGGGGGCTCTCCAGAGCCCCCCCCCCCCCTCCTATCTCCGAAACTACTGGGCCGATCGTCAAAATTCAAACGGCGTCTGATAGCCCTGGAAAAAACTGTCGACCGAAACCTGTTTTCATTGACCTCGAGGTCACCGATGACGTCACAGGTCAGGTCAAAGTAAAAATTATCGACATTTTTGCTAGTTCACAATTCAGGCTCTGACCACCGGACGGCCGGTCCGACCAGGCTCATTTTTGGTTTACGCACTCCTTGACGGATCCCTTAGATACCCTGAGGGTACCGAACTTTTACTTCGAATTTTTAACCCGCGCCCTGCTGGGGGGGAGTGTTTGAACACCCCCCCCCTTGTGGTTTTTCGCGAATATCTCAAAAACGGCGGCGCCGAGCGCCACCGTTTTTGGTACACCTTATCATACATCAATTCTACACATGTTGTGAAAATTTCAGACCAAGGTCATTCAAGGTCAGGTCACCAGGTCACTTGAAGTGACCTCACCTCATAAAAAAGTTTCAATGTCTGTCATAGCTACACCGAGTGACCCATCGCTTTGAAACTTTCAGCGATTGCTAAGAGCAATAGCATGTACAAAATGTATGTCTCATAATTTTGATATCGATGACCTAAGGTCAGGTCAATTTTGCGACCTCCCCATTATAAGTCAATGGGAGAAAATTGAAATGCGCCTCTTTTGGACGAAAGACATTATAAACACTCCCAAACACTGAATTACAAGTGGTTTAGACATACTGAACATGAAAATGGTGTCCGTGACCCCTGTTTATGCCCTGAGGTCATCTTAGGTCACGAATAGTATCTAACAGTTTTTCGCAAATAACTTTTGATAGAGGCATGCTAGAGCGATGAAAACGCCTTAGATGTGTTCAGCTCGAAGATACGGATCGACTGATATGTAACATGACCCTTTCCGGTCAGGTCATGACCTTGACCTGAGGTCAAATTTTCAAGTTGACCTTTCAAGGTCAAGTTATAGTTCATTCGATGCGTCTTGACGAGGGGAACACGATGCCGGTAAAAGTAAGCTCGTACAATGCTTGCGTCAAAAGTTATTGCAGAAAAAACTGTTTCCGAAAAAAATCGGTTATTTTTGCAGTTTTTGCCCCCTGTAGGCAAAACCATTGGCGTTAGGTCAAATATGAGAAAATTACTCAGAAAGGGCGTTAATAGGGCTATCGAATGCGCTTTTCCGCGGCGCTGTAGCTCTATTGGTTTTTTGAGTTATGCGTTGGCTTCTTGGAAATTGTCGATATTCGACCTGGAAATCGGCGAAATTTTGCCTTCAATGACCTCTGGTGACCTGACCTTTGACCTGACCAAAAATTGACTGAAGTGATTTCCTCATTATTTTTGACGCTCTTTCGAACGCCGCCTTCCGCGTATCGCTACGTGGCCCAGGAGCCGAGTTAGAAGGGGGGTGTTCAAACACCCCCCCCCCCCAGCAGGGCGTGGAAATCCAGGACCCCCAGCCGGGCGCGGGTTAAGGTCAAGGCCAGGTCATCCTAGGTCACGAAAATTGTATATCATGTATCGGTCACGTGACGCATGTTTTATGGTCCATTTTACTCATAGATTTCGAAAATAGTGTCGTCTGTGTCATTTGAGGTCATTGTCAGCTGAATTTACCGGAGGTCAGGTCACTTTCAGGTCAGAAACGGTCAAATTTTGAAAATGAAATTTGTCAACAAAAAAGGTGCCTATCAGATGCAGTTTGAGCTCAGGAACACGATAGTGCCATTTATATTGCTGTACGACGTCAAAAACGTACCGAAAAATGGATTTGAAAAAAAACATAAAATTGTAAAATTTTGACAATAATGCGAATAACTTGGCTATTTTTGAAGATATTGGGCTAAAACTTGCAAATGTAGTTCATCAGTGTGTGTCCTATCACATGTATTCCGGTTTTTGCGAAAAGTCAAAAACTTTTTGAAAAAAAAAATATATATTTTTGTAATTGTAAATACATATTTTTCAAAATTTTCAAAATATCGAAAATTCGAGATAGCAGTTTGATAGCTAGGTGTATTTTTAGTCCACTCATGCAAAGAAAATGGATCTAGCTTTAACACGCGCACCGACGGGGGGCGGATATTCGCCCCCCTGAGATTTTTTGCAGATAGCGGGAAAACCGCGGCGCGTAGCGCCGCGAAATTTAGTACGACTATTCTCTCATCAGTTTTAGACATGGTGTGCAAGTTTGAACCTCCTAACTTTGAAGGTCAGGTCACCAGGTCACTTTGAATGACCCAACCTCAAGTCCCTTTTTGCAACTTTGTCACCGTGCCAGAGCTACAGTAGATGTCGGAGGTCTTTGAAAGTCGCAGGATGTTATTAGGTCATTAGTAGCTACAATTTGTATATCTCGGAATTTCGATGTCGGTGACCTAAGGTCAGGTCAATTTCGCGACCTCCCCATTATAAGTCAATGGGGGAAAAATCAACTCCCTGTTTTTACCACTAAAACGGGTCGGAATGGCCCCATATACCATACATGACTTCATATACGACCAACCTTCACTACCTTGAGGTCTGTTTTGCTGTTGGGCAGCTGAAAGGTCATGTGACGTCATCAAAGGTCACCAAAGGTTTTTTGCGAATAACTCCGTACAGAAACAAGATACAGCCGCGCGGATGGTCTCATTGTGTTCAGCTCGTCAAGACGCATCGAATGATATACATGATGACCTCGAGGTCACGTGACCTGAGGTCAACCTTTGACCTTGACCTTTCGAGGTCAACATATGTATCATTCGATGTGGATTGACGAGAGGATCACGATGATGCTCTTAGTTTGTTCCTATCATGACTAGTTCGAAAGGTATTCGAGAAAAACTCTCCCCATATCTAGCGCCGCCATTTTGACTTTTTCGACCCCTGTGACGTCATCTTTGACCTGACCTGAAAATGACCTTTGGAAAAATTGTAGACCTTGTCCGTGCGTATCCGATGCCGTTTACCGCTTCTCGCTATCTTGCTTCGTACTCGAGATCTCAGGGGGGGGCGGTCATCCGCCCCCCCCCCCCCGTCGGTACGAAGTTGGCGCAGACCCCCGTCGGTGCGCGGGTTAAAACTGAGCTCTTGAGAGCGTTTGCCGTAATTCAGTATTTTGCATGAAAATCGGACGCCATGACGTCACTCTGACGTCATTTCCGGTCGTACTATGGTAGCTAGAAAGTTGAAATTTTAACACATGGTGTCAAATTGATGCCTTTGAAGGTACCGCAAGTTTCGTGTTGATCCATCAAACGGTTTAGAAGATATTGCTGAAAAACGGGAGGGGGCTCCGTAGAGCCCCCCCCCCCCCCCCCCAGTCATGCGCGGGTTAAGAAACATGAATGAATACGAAACTACAGCGTCTTGGAAAAGTAGAGGTCCTATTCGATAGCCCTTATAAACATTTTTGAACAATATGCGTAGATTTTACCTAAGGTCAACATTTACGCCTTTAGAGGCCTTAGGTATATACCTAAATGTCTTTCCGGATAGCGTCTTCTACAATAAGTTTTGACACAAAGCTGGTAACACGTTGATTTTATCACCACAATGTTTCTATTGCCGAGACGTGTGAAATGAAATAAAAGTTAACACGCGCACCGACGGGGGGGCGGATATCCGCCCCCCCCCGAGTTTTTTCGCGAATAGCGGGAAAACCACGGCGCGTAGCGCCGCAAAATTTAGTACGACTATTCCCCATCAATTTTACACATGGTGTGCAAGTTTGAACCTCCTAACTTTTAAGGTCAGGTCACCAGGTCACTTTGAATGACCCAACCTCAAGTCACTTTTTGCAACTTTGTCACCGTGCCAGAGCTACAGTAGATGTCGGAGGCCTTTGAAAGTCGCAGGATGTTATAAGGTCATTAGTAGCTACAATTTGTATATCTCGGAATTTTGATATCGGTGACATAAGGTCAGGTCAATTTCGCGACCTCCCCATTATAAGTCAATGGGGGAAAATCAACTCCCTGTTTTTACCACTAAAACGGGTCGGAATGGCCCCATATACCATGCATGACTTCATATACGATCAACCTTCACTACCTTGAGGTCTGTTTTGCTGTTGGGCAGCTGTAAGGTCATGTGACGTCATCAAAGGTCACCAAAGGTTTTTGGCCAATAACTCCGTACAGGAACAAGATGCAGCCGCGCGGATGGTCTCATTGTGTTCAGCTCGTCAAGACGCATTGAATGTTTTACATGATGACCTCGAGGTCACGTGACCTGAGGTCAACCTTTGACCTTGACCTTTCGAGGTCAATATATATCATTCGATGCGGATTGACGAGAGGATCACGATGATGCCCTTAGTTTGTTCCTGTCTTGACTAATTCGAAAGTTATTCGAGAAAAACTCTCTCCATATCTAGCGCCGCCATTTTGACTTTTTCGACCCCTGTGACGTCATCTTTGACCTGACCTGAAAATTACCTGTGTGAAAATTGTAGACCTTGACTGTGCGTATCCGATGCCGTTTACCGCTTGTCGCTATCTTGCTTCGTTCTCGAGATCTCAGGGGGGACGGTCATCCGCCCCCCCCCCCCGTCGGTACGAAGTTGGCGCAGACCCCCGTCGGTGCGCGGGTTAAGCTGGAGAGGTTAAGCTGAATATTTGACGAAGAGTCAGGTTCTAGACGTGACCAAACGAGTCATGTTGCATATTAGTCGATCCGTATTGTTGACCTAGATAATTCCAGGTGCTTTTATTGCCCCACCATTTCGCCATCAAGAGTTATTGTCTGAAAACTGCTGGTGCCTTTTGACCTGGCCGGGCCCAGGGTAGCTAGCTCCAACCACCGCAGTCCGGGGAGGGGTTTTCGCCCCCCTTTCCGACTAACCTATCTTATCTGGTTTCGGAGATATCAGACAAAATGTAAAGGGAGGGGGCAACTTTTTGTCCCCCACCCCCACCCCCATCCCGAGGGGCTCATGGGTTAATAGCTAAATTTATGCCAAGTAGGACATGTCTGGCAGCGCTAAGTTCCAACAAATGCATGCAATGGGACAGAATGGCTCAAATGCCCCCCCCCCCCCCTAACCTAAAGAAACCTTTTTTATTCTACCATTTTCATTTCGCTAAGATTTAGAAAAAGCACATGTCTAATGATATGTTTGTAATTGGACATAATCACATCGACTTCATAATCTGTCATTCACTTTGATGTCTATCTAGTGAACGTAGCACGGGTGATGCACCATCACCCTTAGTTTTTTTTTTTTTTTATAAATTTAGTCCGAACCTTTTGATGGGAAGGATTCACAAGGACAGAGCCACCGCTAAGCGAAGCTTGTTGCGATGACCCTGCCCTCTACCCTCCGATCGCGCAATTCCGATTCTATGGCAGAATTTAGAGTCCAAAGTTTAACGTGCGCACAAAGCCGCGCACGGCCGGTCCCCTCACTGACTTCCCCTGGCTACGGCCTGCCACCAACCGCAACCATACCTGTCAGGAGGCCCATAAATGTCGAGCGCCCGTCGCGCTTCGAACCTGGACTGTCATAACCAGGAACGCGTGCTCTCACCACGCGGAGTCCAACGCTCTAACCAACTGAGCTACGGGACCGGCAATGTTCATAGTTGCCGGTCCCGACTAACATCTTCATAGTTGGGGTGTTAAACAGCTAAGACCGCCTTCAACCATAATATTGTAGACTATAACTCTGATCTTTGAGCTCTGATCTCCGTACTTAACCCGCGCGGGGCTGGGGGGGTAAATTTTACCCCCCCCCCTCGTGAATTTTTGCAATATCTCGAAAACGGCGCCGCGCAGCGCCTCCAAACTTTCAGAACCTTTTTTTACATCAATTTGACACGTTCCCTGAAAATTTTAGCAAAATCCCTCGGATATTTTTTTGAGAAAATGACGTTTTAGTGACGTCATGTTCGCCATTTTCGCCTCAAAAACGGCAAAATTTCAAACGCCGCTAACATCTTCATTTTAAGGGAATCAAGACGTAACAAAAAAGGCTATACGTGATGCTACTTTGTCTATCAAATGGCTATCTCGGTTTTTTGAAAAATTTTATTTTGGCCCAAATTTTTTCAAAAAACTGACTTTTTTGGGAAAATAATTATGAAATCCAAAATTTTGCGTGTATAAAAAAAACGGAATATATGTCAGAGAAGTGGTTTATGTGCACCTACATACCAATTTTTAGAAGAATTGGTTCAAAAATGTGGAAGTTATTCAAAATGTTATGACGTCATGACAAACAATTTTTTTGAAAAATGATTTTGTTTGAAGTTCTAGACCTCGTACGGAAACAAGAATAGCACCATTCGATTCGCCGTGAAAAACTGCATCAGATAGATACCTTTTTAGGCCTTAACAACCAACTTTAAAATTTGACCTTACTTGACCTGACCTTGACCTGACCTCGACCTGAAATTCATCCAGATGTGGTCCATATCACCTATTGAGTATGCCTATTGAATTCTATGAATAAAATGGCCCATAAAACATGTGTCGCACATGCCCTTTTCTATATTTTGTTTTTGGTGACCTGACCTGACCTGACCTGACCTTGACCTTGACCTCGGAATGATATCGTATGCAAGGAATATTGTCTTGGTAGCCTAAGAACACGTTTTGGGCAATCAGTCTCAGTCCATGACTCCATTCTTCGGCAACTACGGTGCAAGGCCGATACTGTAGAAACTTTCAATTTGTACCCTTGACCTGACCTTGACCTTGACCTCAAACTTTAAATTAAGTACATTTTGTAGTTGTTCGTGATGAGATCTTTCGATTGGCGTTTCAATTTTCCAAATCGGACCATTAGTTCGGGAGATAACAGGGGGGTAAAATTTACCCCCCCCCCCAGCCCCGCGCGTTCGGCTGGAGACCCCAGCCCCGCGCGGGTTAATCCAGAGCACTGTAGGAGCTATCTCTGGATACATGATCAATTCACTTCTCTTCACCCGCGGCGGGTCCTCGTCGCCGGGGCAGCAGAACATTCACACCGCTGCACCTTGGCTCGTCAGCCTAGTGCGTCCACGGTGACTGACTGTGGATTGGTCACCGGACCAGCACAGCATGTTCACGCCACTACACTGGGGCCCACGGCCTCACGGACTGACCACTGTGCACGCGAACCCTCGGCGGCTCCTCTCTTCACCCGCACCGCGGACAGACTGACTGAGTGGCCTCCCTGACCACTACCAGAGCCCGCGGACTGCGTCCCGGCAAAACAGACTGACTCACCGGAGCTCCATACGCCGTGCCGGGCGGGCGGCTTCAGTCACGTTCGGCCGTGTTTGTGCTCTCACGTCTGAACCCCGAGCTCCGACGGCCCGCTCGGCCTCTGACGAATGAATCAGGCCTTGGTGTGCCTCCCACGTCAGCATTGACGCACGTAATACCGCGGATGGGCGGGCGGAGGTGCAGCTATCCATATCACTGGGCAATGAGACATCGATAGGGAGTGGGTCCGCCTGACATGTGCACGGAGCCGCCCGCAGTCCGCGCTTCGTCCGCAGCGTCCCGTTGTCAGCGCCGCTGACGGCGCGCTCTTCTGCCCGCAGGAATCCAGCCTCCGAGGCCGCAGCCGAAGTACGTAGGTCGCCGATCTCTCAGCTCTGAGCCGCCCCGCAGCCGGCAGCCATGGTCATCGAGAAGCAGTACAAGCCGGAGGACGAGCCGGATCCCGAGCCGTACCTGTGAGTGAGCAGCCCCTCAGCGGGTCATACCTCTCCGCTCCCTCCGTTCAGCGCCCCCGCCGCCTTCCTTCGCGACGGTCCATTAGACCGTCCACCTCAGCCGTGCCGGTGCCCTCGCCACTCTGTTTTATTATTGAATAAATATTAACTAAGCCATAGCAATCACACATCACATAAGCAATATCAGAGCAGTAAGCTCAATAAGTTTTGTTTGACTTTTCAAATGCCTGGTGCTGCTGTCTAAGTTATTCCCCTCGGGACTGCGTCTTTTACAGTCGTGTCCTTTCACCGTCCCTTCCCAGGTTCGTCTCTCTCGAGCAGAAGCGCATCGATGGCACCAAGCCGTACGATGCCAAGACGGCCTGCTGGGTGCCCGACCCCAAGGAGGGCTTCCTCCTGGGAAAGATCGTCAAGACCGAGGGCGACAAGACCATCGTCCAGATGCCCAACTTTGAGGTCCGCATCAACTATAACTGGTTTACAATGTTTGGATGTGCTTGGAGTCTTCATCTTTTGAACTTACTTGTCGGTATTTGTTCCTGAACTGTCAGTTCCAACTCCGACCCTTCGACTCTCTCGCCCCCGCAGGAGAAGGAGTACAAGAAGTCGTCGCTACAGCAGGTGAACCCTCCCAAGTTCGAGAAATGCGAGGACATGTCCAATCTGACCTACCTGAACGACGCTTCGGTGCTGCACAACCTCAAACAGCGCTACTACACCAAACTCATCTACGTAAGTGGACGGAAGAGCCCGTGTGGATGACGGGCAGCAGTGAAAACTTTACATTGTGATTGTAGTTTGACCTCTGACCTGACCCGGTGACTCCTCAGGGACCTCTGACCTGACCCGGCGCGCCGTTTCAGACGTATTCGGGTCTGTTCTGCGTGGCCATCAATCCGTACAAGCGGTTCCCGATCTACACCCTGCGCGCCATCAATATCTACAAGGGCAAGAGGCGTAATGAGGTGCCGCCGCACATCTTCGCGCTGGCCGACGAGGCCTACCACGACATGATGGCCAGTGAGTGCCGCAGGGGATCGGCAGTGGCTGTCCTACCAGGTCCCCGGGCAGTCGGGAACAGTCGTCCTCTGGTGTCGTGCTCAGCGCCGACCAGCTCGGTCGATCCCTGCCGACCCCCCGTGTATCGAAACGATAGCTGCTGGCGTGGGCCCCGACTGCGCCGCTAGGAGCCTCATATAACCGAATCACCGTCATCATTAGTCAGACGGTGAAAACAGCACCATCCACCGGAGAGGCGGCGTTTACTGCCGGTCCAGAGCCGGCCCCCGGACGACTCTGCCCCCCCCCCCGGACCACCTCCGCCGCTGCCAGCGCGGCGGTTCCAGCGGCGACCACTGGAGGAGGGAGGGGGAGAGGGGGGATCCAGGCAGCCCGATTTAGACCCAGCGGCGGTGCCGTTGGCTGGAAGCCCGCTCCAGCCGGCCGGCTGGCCGTATTTAGGGCGGGCACGGCGGAGATCTGGTGACCGGGCCGCGGGCCGAGCCCCCAGCGGCCGCCCAGGCCCTCTGCCGGCCTCACCAAACGACAGCTGACCATCGCCAACCGTTTACACTGACGGAAATGGTCCTGGATACTTAATGGAAGCCTGAATTAATCCTCGTCGGCTCAGGGGAGGGGTTGATGCAACCCCCCTAAGGTCTCCCGCAAATAACTTGCGTAAAAGCGGTCGATCGCGACGAAGTTGTTTAATACCCTCGCGTTTATCTATTTTACACCTATCATAAAAAATTATGACCCTGAAGCATGTTATATGACGCAGGTCCCATACATTAGGTTGGGTGTCAAGGTCACCTAAAGTTCAGGTCAGGTCATTGACCTCTGATGACCTCGGGTCACTCTTCCAAGTTTGATTTATTTTTAGGCTAGTTTTTTAGTCGAATCCGAATTTAGCAACTATTTGAACATTTACGAAGTAGTTTTGGTGCCTTCGCAACATGTTGCGAAGCTGTCAGAGGCGGCTTACACCTACCACGAATACCCAGTGGGACTTCTACAGGTTGACCTTGCCTGACCTGACCCGACCTGGCCTAAATGAATGTAGGCAACATCTTTGATGAAAACTAACATAATATACTTCATGTTTTAACGACACCTGTTGTATTTCAGATGGAGTGAATCAGTCCATCCTTATTACGTAAGTAGGGGTATGCGTGTGTTTTCGACAAACGTTTTAACTAAATTGGTTGTACATGCCTTCGATGTTAAACTCAACAAATCATTACGTTCGCTGAAAAGTGATTTAAAAAAGAATGATATTTGACACTAAACGTAGTAGTGATGTCAATTACAGAAAATCAGGATACCGATACCAAACCAACTACCAACCAAAACCATGGGAAAATACCGAAACCAAACCAACTTGGGAATCCAGGAAAATACCAACTTTTCGCCAAATTTACAGCCTCTTGGTACATTAGTGAGGATTCATAATACTAACAAAATACCAAAAACATCAGGTTTGAAATACCAAATACCAAGTTGTTATCGGTTTGGTATCGGTATACCAAAAAGTCGGTATCCGATTGACATCTCTGAAACGTAGTGCTTTCTACGTAACATCATAAGTATTAAGACGTTTAACTTGGCTTTTTCTATCTAAAATCTTAAATATAAGTTTGAAGTTCTCAAAGATTCTCAAATCTCAGCACATATATCATCTCTGAGCCACGAGAAGGGATATTCTCACTGCCTCTCTCTCCGGTATACTCTGCTGACCTCCTTGACTCTGGAGTGGCGAGTGTTTACCCCCGGTATACTCTGATGACCTTCCCAACTCTGCAGCGGTGAGTCTGGAGCCGGAAAAACCGAAAACACCAAGAAAGTCATCACCTACTTCGCCAATGTGGGCGCCACTGGCAAAAAGAAGACCCAGGAGCCCAGCAAGGCGAGTTGCACATAAACTCACCGACGTATACGCATTAACTTGCTACGTAATCTAACATATAGAAAATGCCAATAAAGGATTATTTTGGCGAAGGGTGTCTTTCACCGATAAGATATTGTATTTGACGTAATATACATAATAGATGTGGAAAATATGCAGCAGCCACATACTCTTGTATGTTTAGCGTGAGCATGACTTTGCGTCACCTCTTCATTGTGCTCACGCGCGTACGACTCAGAGCAGCGGTGTTGTGAATCTGTCGCCATCTCGCCACCACGTCAATGTAACCAGTAACCAGTTCACCTATCTGGCGGAGGCTGACATGTGTGAGCTCTGGTGGCCGCAGGGTAATCTCGAGGACCAGGTCGTCCAGACCAACCCCGTGCTGGAGGCCTTCGGCAATGCCAAGACCACCCGTAACGACAACTCGTCCCGCTTCGTGAGTTCTGGTCTGCGCTGCGCCGGGTGGCCGATTCAGCAGGGCCGAGTGCGACTCTGTATCAGAAACGACTCGGACATCGCAATATCTGCGGACACAACCATTGCGGAGATGTAGACCGTCAGTGAACAGTCTTACCAATTTGTATGGAGGACTGGGGGAAGCGGTTGGGTGGCTCCGTATCAATGTCACGCCTAAATATTTTTACGGACTCATTCAGGTGTAGTTGTGAGGGCGGCTTGGTAAAAATATTACAACCCAGCTCAGAGCTGTCCCCGAGCTGCACTACATTTATACCGATGCTAGCATGATGAGGTCTCTGTTTCGCTGCCACCGTGGCCAGTCGCGAGTTGGACCACTGCTCACCGTCCCCTGTCCGCGCGCAGGGCAAGTTCATCCGTATTCACTTCGGCCCGCTGGGCAAGCTGGCCGGCGCCGACATCGAGACCTACCTGCTGGAAAAGGCGCGCGTCATCTCTCAGGGCCCGCTGGAGCGCTCCTACCACATCTTCTACCAGATCATGTCCGGCGCTATCGACGGCCTGCTCGGTGAGAGGAGTAGGACAGAGACACGGGACAGCAGCGCAGGGAGCACAGCTGACAGAGGCTCAACAACATCAGACTGTAGCGCACATATATCCTCGGTGTCTCCAATAGGCCCACTGAGTGATCATTCGTTATTGTGGACTGTGGTGAGTCCGAGGAGCCGTTTGGAGTCATTGGGTTAATCATGTGACCCTGTCTCTTCGCCAGATCGTCTGCTGCTCTCCACGGACATCTACGACTACCACTACGTCTCCAACGGCAAGACCACCGTGGACAGCATCGACGACCACGAGGAGATGAAGATGACGGACGTAAGTGCAGCGACATCCGCGGCGTCACTGTTAACGCTCGGAGGAATTCATGTTCCGATCCCGACAAGGGAACCGGTCAGGATATTTTCTCAACAGAGGTGCAGGAACAGCTCTTTGGTCGCTGCATATATTTTATATATCTAGGTTCGGTCGCAAAGCTCACGCTACCCATCATTTGTATTCACGTTTCACATTCTTTTTCGTCATTGCAAATATGTTACGAATCAATAGAAATATTATTTTGTGTTTCTTAAGTCAATTATTAGGTATTCTGGCTCTACTGGAACAGTTTTAAACAGCGTGATATATATATTTAGAAGCGATTGATATTGTGAAAAAGTTTACAGCACACCCTGTAAAGGTGAGTCCAGTGGGCTTTTTAGAATTATTTGGGCCTCAAATGTAAACACTAAGCAATCAGATTCCCGCGCTTTTCTGTATTCATTGTCGGCGGTAATCTTTACCAATGCTTATGTTGCTGTCTTTATCAACCTGCCGGCGCTATATGCAAAATTGAAGTTCAATATCAAGTTCCAATTGAGTAGGGAATAGAACTTTGTCAACTCCTGCCGAGGATTGGATAACTGTTGATGCAGCTCTAAGCGCAAATAACATCCAGTCAACATGCGTAATGCCTCTGCTGCCTGGTGCAATGATCTATCTTACTGCTTTGTTTGCTTCATGCTTGCCGTCCGCAATCTTTCTCTCCCTCTCTTTACCACTCTCTCTCTCCCTCTCTCTCTCTCTCTCTTTCTCCTCTCTCTTTCCCTCTCTCTCTTTTTCTCCCTCTCCCTCTCCATCTCATCTCCCTTCTTCTCTCCCTCTCTCCCTCCTCTCTGTCTCTCTCCCTCTCTTTCTCGCTGTGAGCTGTGGCGTGCCCCAGGGCCCGGTGCTGTCGCCCACACTCTTTGCTAGTTGCTGATCCGCCGCCTCCCTGCTGCCCCCGCCCCCGCAGACGGCCTTCGACGTGCTGAACTTCAGCCAACAGGAGAAGGACAACATCTACGCCATCGTGGCCTCGGTGATGCAGCTCGGAGAGATGAAGTTCAAGCAGAAGGGCCGCGAGGAGCAGGCCGAGGCCGACGGTACCTCAGTACGTGCTGACCCCGCCAACCCGCTGACCTGACCGCCTTGTCGACCCGCAGCAAGCGTTCGACGTGCTGGCCTTCACCCAGGCAGAGAAGGACAACATTTACGCCATCGTGTCGTCAGTGATGCAGATGGGCACGCTCAAGTTCAAGCAGCGCGGCCGCGAGGAGCAGGCAGAAGCGGACGGCACGGCTGTAAGGCGGAGCCGCTGGGCTGCTGCTCTGGGCTGTTGAGCTGCTGAGCTGCTGATCCGGGCTGAGCTGATCGCCGCCGAGCTGTGCTGAGCTGGTCGCTGCTAAACTGAATTTATGAAGGCCCTCACTTATGCTCTGGCTCTCTCGAAAGGCTTCCTGCTGAGTCCTGGTCCTGCATTTCATCAGAAAAATATCTTGCCATCCATCTTTTAAGCTTTATTTGTTGAATAAGAAAACGAATAATTCACTTCGATGAATTCTGAGATATATTTCGTATGAGAAAACCCTTATTATCATATCATGATTATCATAAAAGGCTAGACCAGGTCTCAGCGTCGAATAATCATTTCTCACTTCTTACAATCGTGGATTTTAGACGAACTAGGGGCTTACTGTGGGTGCCATCGTCACTTCATGGCAGCTTAAATATGAGGTTGAGGTGATTTCTTGGCGCATTCTAAACTATAGACGCCACCTAAACATCTCTAATTGCATGACCATTTATTTGTGTGTGCCAATGCTTCAAATGCATGCTGAATAGCTCAAAGGACGGCAATGTGTGTGGACTCTTTGGAATTTATGTCAATTTGCTATGATCTAATCTCCAATCGTGTTATCACTCTTGCATGGGTCGTTCTCAAACCCTGCACATGTGTGCGTGTAAGCCAGAAACACCTGGCATGGTACGAACCACATGTTATTGCTGATGACGTCATTTTACAACAGCTGACGCCTCTTGCTGTGTCCACACCCAAGTCACGTGACCAACGACTGTTCTGGCACTCGACCCCACGTCCCCTCAGGGCAAGATAGTGGAGCACGCGGAGCGAACGAGCACACCTAGCGGAATGTGCCCCCCCTTCCCTTGAATGCACCCCTGGAACTCGCCTGAAGGCCGTGGATGCATACGAACCCCTTTGTGTGAACATTGGTGGCTGGAATGCCTGTCAGAGCAATTCTTGTGCTTGGTGCCCCGGACAGACTGACCCTCTCTGTTCCCACCCAGCCCCCCCCCCCCCGTCCGTCAGCATGTTCCTGGAGCCGAGACCGCGACGCTAGACCAGTGCAGCCATCACGTGTGACTCCACTGTGTGACTCCTCTGTGTGACCCCTCTGTGACCCGTGCTGCCCTGAGATCCGGTGTCTGGAGGGTTATCCAGTCCGCCCCGAGCTCAACACCCGCCACAGCACGAAACCCGTCACTGAACTGCCTGGGAATGTCCCCCAGGCTGCCCCGCACGGTCTGAACACTAAAATCTGCCAGTAGAAATGTTTTAGATGATGGGAGTGGTCTTGCAATCATTAGTTTTAACACATTACATTGAGCACTGAAGAAGTTAAACAATGATATTTGTTATTAGCCCTCACCCGCACATGGGGGGTTGCCCCCCCCCCCCAGGTAGTCTTTCTGTTCTGCACTCAACATTTTTAGAGCTAGAAGGCTGATTTTTCGTATAGCTGCTCCTCTATCCTTTCTGGATGTTCACTGAAAATTTCAAGTTTCTGTGTTTTTTGGTTTCGGAGATATGACCTTGTTTTTAGGTCATGTCATGACCCAAATGGCCAATTCTCAACATCTTGCGTTGGCTATGGGCCTTGTGAGCTTTTGACACCTTGATTTCGGCCTTTTTTACCAGTCTTACCTCCCACCTATCATGGAACATGTTGTTGGACGATGTACAGATGTCAAGGTCAAGGTCAAGGTCAACCTAGGTCATCTAAGATAATTGCGTTTTAGGCAAGCGGAATTTACTTTTTGTGAAGTTTTTTGACTGGATTTTTGGTAAAAAGCTTCTCAGATCATGATTTCATGTAATATGGACACATAAAATAGCGGTGCACACATCAGTATACACACAGACACACACAGACATACAAACCCATATAATTGACCTTGACCTAACTTGACCTGAAATGACCTCAGCAGCAAAAACCTGGTCGGGTAGTGTGACAAAGAGGTTCTAGCTGGCTTGGCACCAGAAAACGGCATCGTCATCGGTATATGATAAGCAGCGTACTTGATATCCAACGGTGACCCAAAACAGCAATATTTTTTAGTTTGACCTGACCTGGAAGGTCAATGACTGACCTGAGAAGGTAAAACTGGGTATCATTGGATTCGTCTCTTCCCAAAGAATCTTTTTGGTCTTTACCGCTAAGCTCTATCTCCAACAGGAACGAAATGGCGCGGGGGTGACAACCCCCCCCCCCCCCATGTGCGTTCTAGGATGGGAAAATGGCATGTGCGGGCGAGGGTTAAAGTCGATTGCTGTAAGACTCGTATGTTGCTGATAGTGATATGTAGGTTGGTGTTCAGGCACTAACACTGTGTTTAATTGCTATAAGGCCAGAGAAATGGCAGACGGACTGTTAGTGAATGTTCTCATATTGTATGTGAGGCTCCAAGTGGAGGGGAGCATTATTCGCTATTTGAAGTAAAGCATCGAATACGACAAATCCCAGAATCTGTGTGGTCTCTCACTACCATATCAGTCGACTGTCGCGTGATAGTCGCGTGTAATTTCATGGAAAATGATTCGAACGAATGCAAATCTCTTGTCAACTTGGCAGGAGACATGGATATGGGTCGTGTTCATATTGTGTATGATATAAGATATGTGCACACTGATAACAGCTCCGGAACTAATGACTGCACTCATGACAGTACTATGTTTCCCTCTTCCATCTCACCCCCTTCAATAATCGAGTTCGCTGACTAGTTGAATCGTTCCCTATCGCTGAATTTCAAACTTTTCAGCCTTGTAAGAACCATTGAATACCACTCACAATTCCTTTATTTCAAGCGACTCTCGCAGTCTCCGGGGACCACTGGGCCTTGCTTTCATGACATTCTGTGTTACCCACAGCATATTGTTTTGACATTCACCGGAAACTTCTTGTGACGTCTGCATTATTGTCATGGCCGTCTATAGCTCCTTGTGATATTATTTCATATGTTGCCCTCAACGATAACTTTTATTGTTCCGATTATTCGTGATCAACCGCAACTCCCTGTGGTAACCACTGGTTGGCTGTGATCCGACCTGAGCCCAAATAACCGTGCGAATTGCCTCGCCGGCGCGTCACAGGAGGGCGAGAACGTCGCCAAGCTGCTGAAAACGGACGGCGTCGAGCTCTACAAGAACCTGCTGAAGCCCAGGATCAAGGTCGGCAACGACTTTGTCAACCAGGGTCGCAACAAGGATCAGGTCAGTGGCCTGAGAGCCGCACAACCAGTGCTCGCTTGGTGACCTCACTGGCGACTTTATAGGTCAGCGTAATAAAGACCATGTCAGCGTACTCTGAATGAGTTATGAATCATTTCACAGCAGTTTATGTGAGTGACATATTCTGATAAGCAAACGTCATATTGATACCTTTCAGCTTTGTGAACCATCATCGGCAGGGAGGATAGCACGATGCAATATTTGCTCACATTCGCATTACGTGGGTTAACGGGAGTACGCCCCGCCCGGCCGCTAGATGGCAGTGCCCTGTGCGCCGTGACTGCTAGGCTATACCGCAGTACAGTGCAAGTCTGCCCCGCCCGGCCGCTAGATGGCAGTGTCCTGCGCGCCGTGACGGTAGGCTGTGCCGCAGTACAGTGCAAGTCTGCCCCGTCCGGCCGCTAGATGGCAGTGTCCTGCGCGCCGTGACTGATACGCTGTGCCGCAGTACGAGCTCGCCGGCCGCTCGGCGGCGTGTGAGTCGCCGCTCCGAGTCGCTCGCTCGGTCCGTCTGTACCGGCGTGTTGATCAGCGGGTGACACGCCTCCCCTGCCTGTGCCCAGGTGTACTACTCGGTGGGTGCGCTGGCCAAAAACATGTACGACCGGCTCTTCAAGTGGCTGGTCAAGAAGGTCAACATGACGCTGGACACCAAGCAGAAGCGCGCCTCATTCATCGGCGTGCTCGACATCTTTGGCTTCGAGATCTTTGACGTGAGTTCAGCGGCTGGGAAAATGGCATCGGATCGACAGGATGTGTGATTCGAGAGGACTAGTCACAATCAAATAAATGTATGTACTTACCCGGCAAGAACTGTGGCCACTGACCAGAGCACCCCGTTCTGTTTGACAGTTCAACAGCTTTGAGCAGATGTGCATCAACTTCACCAACGAGAAGCTGCAGCAGTTCTTCAACCACCACATGTTCGTGCTGGAGCAGGAGGAGTACAAGCGGGAGGAGATCGACTGGGTCTTCATGGACTTCGGCATGGACCTGCAGGCGTGCATCGACCTCATGGAGAAGGTGACTTGTCTACCGGGACCCTTGCATGATGTACTGGAACCGTTTATAGCCATGATTTTATCTGCCTGCAGGCGGATGAATCGTAGTTTATACCGTCTTACTCATGAAAAGTTTTGAGTATGTTGCAGTCTGTTTCTTGTGTAGGAGTTGGCTGCGCCAGACGTCTGTGATGTAGGACCTCAGCGTCTTATCTGACACACTATCTATGCGCTCGGCAGCCCATGGGCGTCCTCTCGATCCTCGAGGAGGAGAGTATGTTCCCCAAGGCCACCGACAAGACGTTCGAGGAGAAGCTGAAGACCAACCACCTGGGCAAGTGCCCCCTCTTCGTCAAGCCAAAGCCGGCCAAGCCGGGACAGAGCGAGTCGCACTTCGCCATCGTGCATTACGCGGGAACGGTAAGAGTTGCGGGACCGACACCGTAAGAGACTAATATTATCTCACTATCGTCACTATCGTTTTTCAATTTCAGTTTTCATTTCTTCAAATAGGGTGGCGTTCGCTTGGAACAGCCTGCCGCCAACTGTCCCTGGATGTAGCGGCAGAGCTGGTTTTATCTCTGCCCTGGACACGTAAATGTGTTAATATGTTTCATATTTTCCCTTTTTTACCTTGTATGCCATTTGTAATGTGCCTGTTCTCGCGTGTTTATATCTGTAACTACCAAGTACGACATGAATCAAACATGAAGCCAATGTAGGTAAGTGGGATGATTCGAAACACATCTGAATCTGAATCTGAATCTGAATTTTGATAATTATAAACATGGCTTAGGGTACACCCGCTTGCAAAGTTCTAATATTCCGCGGTCTATGTGACACTTTATTTTTGATTGAGCTCAGTGTTCATCCATTCCCCTTGAACCTGTGCGCTATGGAAGGTCGGATAGTACACTTTACCTGGTGGTGCGCAACGTGCTGACATGACACGTTACTACGGACAGGTGAACTATAACCTGGTGGGCTGGCTGGAGAAGAACAAGGACCCGCTTAACGACACGGTGGTCGACCAGTTCAAGAAGAGCGGCAACGCTCTGCTGGTCGAACTATTCGCCGACCATCCCGGACAATCGGCGCCAAAGGAGGAGGGTGGCGGCGGCGGAAAGGGTAGGTGGAGCAGGCGCAGAGCCGCGGCAGGACGGCAGGGAAACAGAGGGGCGGAGGGTAGCGGGGTACGAGTGGGCCAGCTGAGGGAGACACATCGCTGACGTCCACCCCCCCCCCCCTCCCCCGAATTCTGCCGCAGGTGGCAAGCGCGCCAAGGGCTCCGCGTTCCAGACCGTATCTGCCATGTACAGAGTGAGTACAGGGATCTGACCACTGGGGACGGCGGCATTCGCTCTGCCGTCTCTTCACCGAGCAAAGTCAGGGGTTATCACTCAACTGGGGTCCACTCTGTCGGAACTGAGTTCTCCGTTATGTTTTTAATTGCTTCTTAGCCATTTTTCATTGTTGATCAATATTTTTCCCAAAAAATTTCCGTGCTAGTTGCAATTGTTTAATATTCTGACGCTCCTCTGCTCATCACTAGGGCGTCGCTGGGATGCTGAAGACGCTGCGTCACACTCGTGCTTTCCAAGTGACAGTTGACCCAGTGCGCTGAGCTCTGCAGGAGGTATTGCCCGACTGTCCGGTCAATGTGCCCCCTGTGGGCCGATGGCTGACCTGCCCGGTCCCCCCCCCCCCCACCCGCTCGATGTGATGCCTGTACATCGGACCGTTCCCTCCCCCCCCCGTCAACCCAGAGTGATCCCTGCCGGACCAGTGGTGTTCCGTATACGGGTCCCCGGCTGCCGCGCCGCCACTGGGCGGGCCGCTGACCCCGTGTCTCTCTTTGGCCAACCCGTGTAGACGGCACGCACCCCGCCCCCTTATCAGTGATTCTTTGTACCGTCACCCCGTGCCGTACAACCCGCATCGTACAAGTGTGCATCCTGTACCAGAGACAAGTGTACCCCGTACCAGAAGACGAGTACCCTGAATCACCCTGCATCGGAGAGTTGGATATCCTGCATTGGAAAGACATGAGCCCTGCATTGGAGGGAATTATTGCCATCATGCATCGGGAATATGTTTACCTTGCACCAAAGATGTGTGATCAGCACCTCGGACAATGTGTCCCGCATCTCAACCCTTCTGAACAGATGGTGTTTAAGTGAGCGCCTTTGGCGAAATCCCTGACCCCTCCCCCCGCCCCCGGTGTCACCTCCGGCGACTGCCGTTTGAGCCACCTCCCCTTCCTCAATATCTAGAGTCAAGAGTGTGAGTAGTGAGTACCCTGTGCCCCTGCACTCCAGTATGGTATGCGTCTTTAGCTCTCTGCACCTTCCCGGATAGAGTCCAGCATGTGATGCAACAACGCTCGTCAGGAGAACGCACCCCATCGGACCACTCAAGACAATTGTTATTCTCTTACGACACGCTGCTGTCTTCAGAGTTGAAATTAAGCGCCTTCGAGATCATGCTTGCAAAAGTCCATTCTTGGCTCGTGCTTTCTGTCCTTCCCTTTTCTAACGAAAAAGATGTTAAAGTCACTCGAAAAGTCCAAGACGCACTGTGTTTGATCTTCGGCCATTGTTTGCATGAACAAAGAAGGACTCAATGCTAAATGTTACGTAATACTATAAATGATAAGGTCTGTAACAAACGGACTTCATAAAGATCACAAATGATTTCTATCTACAGTTAATACAGATGAAAGCATAATCGTTCAAAAATTAGTGCCATGGCTGCGCGGTAGTAAAGATAACACTGTATACAAAACTGCGCAATGCACACCTGATTTCTGAGCGGTTTTCTGAGGCGATATTGATTACGTTTGGATCGTTACGGATGATAAAATATGGCTATGCTTTTGAACAATTCCTTTGTCATTTTATCGTTAGGTTTTCCCCCTGAACAGATCACAGGAAATCGGTTGTCATAATTACAGGCACGTAGAGGTTCCAGGGCGGCGGTCGGATTTCTCGGCGACCGCCCGGTGTCCCGCTGTCACGATCTGACGCGGTGAGCTGCCAGCGGCTAACCCCCGGTGCCCGGTGTTTTAGGAGCAGCTGAACGGACTCATGAACACGCTGAACGCTACATCTCCGCACTTTATCCGCTGTATTATCCCCAACGAGACCAAATCGCCCGGTAAGGCCCCGGTCGGCCGCACCACACACTCGCCGGCAGTGAACCCTCACCGGCGGGGAGCCGTGCCGTGACCCAGAGAATGGTTTGACCCTGCATTGTGCCCTGACCTAGCGGTGGAATTTCCCCTCCCCTTTGCACAGGATTGGACCGAGAGCCTGCTGTTTGAGGCGATGTGTGGCCGAATGTGCCCTTGCGTGTGAAGATGGCCTTGCTTCCCTCAGTGCTGGCCTGCCTGCTGCCCTGGCCCCTAGTGTGAGATGCCCCTGTGACCCGGTGCACCCTACAAACGGCTGACGGCACCGTTTGGCTGTGGGTGGCTGAGGCCGAGATCCGGCTGAGCACCCTCCGTCTGCCGCCCCTGAGTACCTGGAACTCCAGACTGCCGCGCCGAACTGCCCCCAGCGCTGGCTCCTCATCACCGCGAACGACATCCGCTACTCACCTCCTCATACCACCCTAAACCAACCCCGAGTCTCAGACCAGAGGACAGACCCTGCACATGTGTAACGCTTGGAGTGCCCCGCTTGACAGTCGGCACCTCTGAGTGACCCCAGGTGTACGGCTGGATGACCCCGTAGTGACTCCGCCTGATCCTGCCTGACCCTGCGGTAGGCGTGGTTCCCTTGCCGAGCACCCCGCTAATCGTCCGGCTCCGTGTCCCAGGAGCAGCTGAACAACCTGATGGCCACGCTGCAGGCCACGTCGCCCCATTTTATCCGCTGCATCATCCCCAATGAGACCAAGTCGCCCGGTAAGGTCTGCCGGGCATGGTCTGCGGCCCGGCATCCTGTGCCTGGGTGTCGCCCTCTGCATGGCCGAGTCGCGCCCCGGCGCCTGAGTGTCCTGAATCTGCATGGTTGAGCCGCGTCATACAGCCAGACCTGCCTGCCAGACACATACGCAGCATGACGATGTCGCTGGTCATTTGCAGCCAGCTGTTCAAGTTCAATATCAATGAATACATAGTCAGTAGCTTACGCTTTGGTGGTGTCAAATAATTACGTTCGTTAACCCTCGCCGGCACAGGCCATTTTGCGTCCTTCGACGGCACAAGGGGGTTGGGTTGGTACGCCCCCCCCTCGCGTTTGGCCCCTGATCGAGCTTGAGCTCCGCGGAAAAAACGAGCGTGTTTCCCGTCACGAGAGGAAGCCGATGATACCCAATTTTAAGGTCCTAGGTCATCGGGTGACCTTCCAGGTCAGGTCAATGACCCGAAAACCGGGAAAATCGGGACCTGCTAGAAAATCGTAAAGTGTGGCTGCTATGTGGTTTTCCGGGGTGCTGATCACGAATATCGTGTTAGTTTTGATCAGAGATGATGTTTTTAAGCATTTAGACCAGGTCGGGTCAGGTCAGGTCAGGTCAACCGGTACGGGTTGTGACGGGTGTTCGTAATACGTGTCAACCGCCTCTGACAGCTTCGTAACATGTTACGAAGGCACCAAAACTACTTCGTAAATGTTCAAATGGTTGCTAAGTTCGAATTCAGCTCCAAAAACTAGCCTAGAAACATGTAAAACTCGAAAAAAGTGAACCGAGGTCACCCGAGGTCACCAAAGGTCAATGACCTGACCTGACCTTCAGGTGACCTTGACACCCACCCTAATGTATGGGAGCAACATCTATTCACATGTTTGAACGTTTGAAACCACGAAAAGCTTGTAAACGCGCGGCTAATGCGAGCCGACATACGACGAATCGCGATTTCGGCCAAACATGGTCAAGGAAAAGAGGTCACAGGTCAAAGGTCATTGGGGTCAGGGTCATGAAATTTTCAGGGAACGTGTAAAATTGATCAATGCGAGGGTACTGAAAGTTTCGTCGCGATCGGCCGCTTTTTACGCGAGTTATTCGCGAAAAACCTTAGGGGGGTTGCATAAACCCCCCCCCCCCTGTGCCGGCGAGGGTTAAATGTTCTTTATAAAATGCTCGCGGTAGGTGTCTAAATCCAGCATTTAATTATGAGCCTCTACAAAAGATAATACGTTTTTGCATTGTATTTCGCTTTCACAAAATAGTCTTCTGTTGCGCGTCCATAAAAACGCCTTATCTGTGCCGCCTTCTCTTTTTGTAACGCTGTTTAAATGCAACATTACTAGCTATTTACCGTATTTGATCACCATTTTAAGGTATTTTAACTCCGCATATTTTTTGTTTTCAATAAAAATTGACCATTTAATGGCTTTCTTAGCTCTTCTACGGCTCCAATAGCATTAGTTAAGTGTCCTTGAAACAATACAATGAAAATCCACTTTTTATAGAGCAACATCTCTTTGAGGTGTAGCCACTTAGGTGAGAGAGTTGATGCGTCTAATTTCATTAGCCGGTGAGCCGAGATTCTGCGGGTCCCTCCCCGTTCGGTCGGGTCCCCTGACTCCGTCCCGACTCGTCCGCAGGTGTGATCGACTCCCACCTGGTGATGCACCAGCTCACCTGTAACGGTGTGCTCGAGGGCATCCGTATCTGCCGCAAGGGCTTCCCCAACCGGCTGCCCTACCACGACTTCCGTCACCGGTACGTGCTCACCCTGCGACTTCTGCTGACCCCTCACCTCGCTCCTGCGGTCCACAGATGGTATCCGCGAGAGGGCGCACCCCCACTCATCAAACATACTAAAGAGACGCTTTTTCGAGGGTCCGGCAACCCGGTGCCATCAACTCCCTGTTAGGTCAGCCATAATTCAGCCAGTGGTGACACACTGAACTGAGCGGGGACGGACAGGCGGCTGACACCACCCCCGTGTCCCAAAGCTATAACATTCTGGCGACAAAGGAGATGGAGGCTCTCAAGGACGGCCGAGAGGCCTGCGCCGCCTGTCTGAAGGTGGTCAACCTGCACGAGGATAAGTTCCGCCTCGGTCTGACCAAGGTACACCCGCCAGGCGGTCCGTCCGTCCCGCGGTGCAGTGGCATGCAGTAGATCCAGTCCAGTAGACGACATGACGCGGCGACGTGGGCACCTGACCAGCGCTTCGTCAGCCGTCCGTTTTAATAGTGGCTGCTCTACATAGTGCTCACAGAGTGATTCAATTTTTAGTTAAGCCAGTCAAGTGATTACCATGCTGCTCCAGCACTCAGTCTTCAGGTCTTCCAGCAGCGGCAGAGGCTTAGTGATGTAGCCCGCACCCCGCTGGGGGGGGGGGCAGAATCTGCCCCCCTCCCGTTTTTCGCCAATAACTTCTAAACGCGTTACGCCAGCGACGTCAAACTTTCAGTACCTTATCATACATCAATTTGACACGTTTCCTGAAAATTTGAGCGAAATCCGTCGGAAAATTTTTGAGAAATTGACGTTTTAGTGACGTCATGTTCGTCATTTTCGCCTCAAAAACGGCAAAATTTCGAACGCCGCTAACATCTTCATTTTGTAAGGAATCAAGACGTAACAAAAAAAGATTATACGTGATTTTACTTTGTCTATCAAATGGCTATCTCGGTTTTTTGAAAATTTTGGATTTTGGCCCAAATTTTTTCAAAAAACTGACTTTTTGGGAAAATATTTATAAAATCCAAAATTTTGAGTGTATCGAAAAAACCGCAATGTATGTCAAAGAAGTGGTCTATGTGCACCTACATACCAATTTTGAGAAGAATCGGTTCAAAAATGTGAGAGTTATTCAAAATTTTATGACGTCACGACAAACAAATTTTTTGAAAATTGTTTTTTTTTTGGAAGTTCTAGACCTCGTACGGAAACAAAAATAGCACCATTCGATTTGCCGTGAAAAACTGCATCAGATAGACACCTTTTTGGGCCTTAACAACCAACTTCAAAATTTGACCTCCCTTGACCTGACCTTGACCTGACCTCGACCTGAAATTCATCCAGAGGTGGTCCATATCACTGATTAAGTGTGCCTATTGAATTTTATGAGTAAAATGACACATAAAACATGTGTCGCACATGCCCTTTTCTATATTTTGTTTTTGGTGACCTAACCTGACCTGACCTGACCTTGACCTTGACCTCTGAATGACATTGTATGCAACGAATGTTGTCTTGGTAGTCTAAGAACACGTTTTGGACAATCAGTCTCAGTCCATTCTTCGGCAACTACGGTGCAAGGCCGATACTGTAGAAACTTGCATTTTGTACCCTTGACCTGACCTTGACCTGACCTCTGACCTACTTAAGCAAAAAAATTTGGGCTCTTTAGATCCGCCTCGTTGAGAGCTTTCGATTGCCGTTTTTCCCGTCTTTCTACGACCATCGGTTCGGAAGTTAGACAGGGGGGGCAGAATCTGCCCCCCCAGCAGGGCGCGTATGGCTGAATAGCCCAGCGGGGCGCGGGGTAGTGCACCGCTAGTGTCCTGTTGTAGACTGTTTTAGTGTTAGTCCTAGACGTGACTTCGTTAACATGGATGCGTCGTTTGCGAGTTGCACTGGTCGTAGTGAGATGGCGATGCAATGTAGCTGTGTCGTCGTTCACATAACAAGGGACAACAGCTGTTGCAGCCATGGGCGATTGACGCATGGTGCTTAAAGAGCTCCGGTCACTCTCAACACAAGTTTTGCACTGTACCAATGCGTAACAATTGCTCACATTTGAAATCTAGCCTTACCAATGATAATCGCCTATGGCTGCTCCAGCTCGTAGAAATGATCGTGCCGTCCATTTTGCATAGTTGAGTCATAGCCTAAACCAGATAAGGGAAGAGCTCGTACTTGTGCTGCCAACGGCAAACGCCACCAAAATTTATTGAACATTCCCATGGCTGTCGCTGGGTGGGTGAGTCACTCGGCTGGGGAGCAGCAGTACGGTACCAGCTCTCCCCTCCTCCTGGGCTCAGCCGGCACTGAGAGCTGACGCCCGCGGCAGACGTAGTAACCAGCACACCCCTCGCACCCTCTGTGCAGCTACAAGATCCTCGCCGTCGAGGAGGTGAACAAGATCAAGGACGACAAGGAGGCCTCGGCCGCGATCCTAAACAAGATCGAGCTCGACCAGGAAAAGTACCGGCTCGGACTCACCAAGGCATGTGCGGCAGCGCCGAGGCGTCCGTCAACCGTGCAGAGAGATGCAGGCGCTCTGCTGTATAGGTTACCACAGGAGTTCACATGACGAACGAACAAATGTCTCGTTTTCACACGTAGATAAGACTATTGACTTAATGGTTGGTTCCTTTCACGTCCCATAACAGCCTCCGAAACGGCACGTTCTTTCTAAGCGTTTCACTATCCACTGCGCTAGTGCCTCCCACGCTTCCTCTTGGTGACCTCGATATGCCGCTGCCAGGTGTTCTTCCGTGCCGGTGTGCTCGGCGACCTCGAGGAGCTGCGTGACGACAAGCTCAACATGATCTTCTCCTGGATGCAGGCCCAGATCCGCTCCTACTTTTCCCGCAGGGAATACGAGAAGCTCAAGGAACAGAGGTAACCAAGTGATTTCACTAGTTGGTTTGACGATGTCAGATATCTTCTATGTGTCTGTTTGACGTCTTGTTTGGTGTTGTTGTTGGTTATTTCCTGTCTAACCCTGCCCTCGCCACGCCCAGGTCCATGCTGCTGGTGGTCCAGCGTGCCATCCGCAAGTACATGCGTCTGAACGGCTGGCCGTGGTTCCGCCTCTGGATCCGCGTCCGCCCCATGCTCTACGAGACGCGCATCGAGGACGAGATCAAGGTACGCGGCCGGTCTGCCAAAGAGAGTCGAGTCACTCACTCTCAGTGTAGATGACAGTCAGCAGGGCAAGCCAGACGTAACACGTTCAAACGGGGGCCTGAAATGCAGTAGACGGGACAGCGCCAAACGCCGGTATCGAAAACGGAGAGCGAAAAACGCTCTTTCTTCTCGTCAGTAAACATTTGCACCAGCCGAGCTCTGAGCACCAGTAAACGATTGACGTGTTCACCTTGTCAGAGTTTTATGGCGCAAAGATCAATGACGACCGGCTGGCAATCGTACCAAGCACAACGGAGAAGCTTAGCCGAAGGTCGTAGGTACGTTCAATATCGAAATCAGCTCAGAAACAATACATGCTGTATGCTTATATGCTGATTGCGTCATATGCACCAGATCGGACGCCAGATAGCCGCTGACTGCCACGAGACCGCGCGTCAGACTGACGTTCTGGTGTTTCCCGGTTCGGCAGAAACTGAAGGAGGAGGCGGAGGAGGCTGAGGCCAACCTGGATGTGATCTCCAAGGCGCGCCAGGAGTCCGAGGAGAACAACGTGCGTCTGATGAAGGAGAAGGCCGACCTGGCCGCCCGGCTGGAGGCTGAGCGCGGCGAGATGGGAGACGAGATCGCCAAACAGCAGAAGCTGCAGGCGCAAAAGGCCGACCTCGAGAGCCAGCTCAACGTGAGTGCCGCTCATAGACGTCTCTGTACTCGGCAACCAAGGCGAAAGAGGAACTTAACGGTGTCATACATAGCTATTCCTTGCTGAAACTCAAATGTAATTAGAACCATGAATATTCAAACGTTCGATTATACGTTGAATGCACCAATGGTCACAAAAACTGCAACAGGACTCACCATGCGTAGTCACGTTCTCAGTATGACTGATGTCTGATCTCCCGTCCCACCGCTCCGTTCTCAGTGTGACTGATGTCTGATCTCCCGTCCCACCGCTCCGTTCTCAGTGTGACTGATGTCTGATCTCCCGTCCCACCGCTCCGTTCTCAGTGTGACTGATGTCTGATCTCCCGTCCCACCGCTCCACAGGATGCCCAGGAGCGCCTCACCGCAGAGGAGGAGGAGCGCCAGAAGCTCTCCCAGGAGAAGCGCCGCATGGAGCAGGAGATCAGCTCATTCCGCAAGGACCTCGAGGAGGTTGAGCTCAGCGCCAAGAAGCTGGACGCCGACAAGACGGCACGCGACCACCAGATCCGCACGCTGAACGACGAGATCGCCCAGCAGGACGAGCTGATCAACAAGCTGAACCGCGAGAAGAAGCGTCTCCAGGTTAGATACGATTGACTACTGGTCTACAATGATTGTATCCTACCTAAAAACTCGAATTGCTTTCATTCATAATGACAGATCACTGTCCTGCAGAAAACGTTGATTGCTTTTAATGTTAAACGAACTGATCAATAACAGATGCTTGTACTCTATCTGAATGTTTTCACTCTCTATCCTCCAGGAGAACCAGCAGAAGACGGTGGACGACTTCGGAAGCCAGGAGGACAAGGTCGGCCACCTGCTCAAGGTGAAGGCCAAGCTGGAGCAGACGCTGGACGAGCTGGAGGACTCGTTGGAGCGCGAGAAGAAGACGCGCGCCGAAATGGACAAGGCCAAGCGGAAGGTGGAGGGCGACCTCAAGCTGACTCAGGAGGCCGTGGCTGATTTGGAGAAGAACAAACGCGAGCTCGAGCAGACCATGCTGAGGAAGGACCGCGAGATCGCCCAGCTGTCCAGTAAGTCGCAAAGGAAGTCGAACATCCTGAGTGTGACACGAATCACTGCTTTTTAAGATGTGATATTCACAACGAAGAGCACTCAAGACAATGGCCCTGAAGGTATAGTTATTTATGTACTGTGTTTCGAACGTTGATATTATCACTCCCTCCATGCCCAACCTGACGCTGTGTTCTGACCTCAGCCAAGCTGGAGGAGGAGCAGTCCCTGGTGACCCGGCTGCAGAGGATCATCAAGGAGCTCCAGGGCAGGATCGAGGAGCTGGAAGAGGAGCTGGAGTCGGAGCGCCAGGGCCGCGCCAAGGCCGAGAAACAGCGTGCCGACCTGGTCAGTGGCCAGCTATGACAGCTGTCCAGTATTTTTACGTCCTTATCTTACCCAGGGACGTTAACCTCCGCGAGCGACTATGCATTGTACAAGAACTACGCTGTTACAATTTAGCGTCTGTAGTAAGCTCAGCTGTTTTGTGAACTCGACGCGCCGGTTCTGCTGCCGTTCTCGTCCACAGTCACGGTACCTCTGCAGCTGCTGACATTTCTGCTGCCGCCGACAGGCCCGTGAGCTGGAAGAGCTGACCGAGCGTCTGGAAGAGGCCGGCGGAGCCACCGCCGCCCAGATGGAGCTCAACAAGAAACGCGAAAACGAAATCGCCAAACTGCGCCGCGACATTGAGGAGCAGGTACGGTTCAGGGCTCGGCAGAGCGGCACTACCCCTTCACCGGCACACCGATGCTCCCTGTGGTATATATGTACCCTCCAGTTGATGTGTAAGGCTGAATTTCCTCTCTGAGGTGTTCTGATCCGACGTTTGGCCGCTTACAGACCATCCAGCAGGAGGCGACCATGGCCGGACTGCGACGCAAGCACAACGACGCCATCACGGAGATGGCCGAACAGATCGACCAGCTCAACAAGTCCAAGGCCAAGTGAGTTAACTGTGCAGCCGGTTTCTAAGCCGTTTTTATGACTACTCAGGATCGGCGATCGGACGTCTTCATTTGGAATGAAAACGTTCAAAACTAAGAGAGGGTGCTCTGATGAGTTAAACCGTATCATGTATGCAGATGACGCTAGACAGGTCGAGTTTATTTCATTATTCCTTGATTGGCAATTATTGTATATCGTATTTTCAAGTGCAGGGAAGCTTGCTAGCAGCACATGGTTAGCCATTTGGCCAAGTGTGAGTGATTCGTCTCGGACGGTTACAACTCCTGCCCCACATCGCGCTCTTGCACAATGCCCCAGGGCTGAGAAGGAGAAGCATGACAATGGCTCTAAGTGCCACGAGATTCGCTCGGCCATTGACCACGTCTACGGCGAGAAGGTATACCTGCTAGTCGGACGGTCCCTGTTTCTGTCCGTCTGCGCAGCGGACCAGGCGACTTCCCGCGCTTCGCTTCCACAGTCCTTGTCTCTAGTCACTCGTGTAGAACAGTGCCCCCGTTCGAGCCGGTAGTCAATGTGTTAGACCTCTGTGCCTAGAGTAGCCGTCCCGCAGTGGCCGAGTGACTCCGTGTCTGTGTCTGTCCGCCCGCTCGGCACCCCGGGTCCGCCTACCCACCCGCTATACCTGTCTGCACGGCCGGAACCGTTTCAGGGCCGACCGCGAGGGCGAGCACCTGCGCAGTGAGACCCAGGAGCTGCGCTCCGCGCTTGACCTCACCAACAACGAGAAGGTAGCGCTCTCTGAGAGCATAGACCAACACACGGCCCGCCGCCCGCTGTATCATAGAGCCCAGCTGACACCCATCTAACACCTTTTATTTTGCAGGAATGCTGATTTTGTCCGCCATACTGATATTTTTCTGAGTAACTTGTTTCTGCCTGTTTTCGTTGGTGTTTGCGAGGAGTTGGTTCTTTCGTGTTTGTAGCATAGAGCGGCACACTGACCATCTGCGGAGCGACGCGGCGGTACTGGGCGCACTGCTGGGAAAGTGCTGCCAACTGACGGTAACACTCGGCGCGCTTCTCTGCATGGGGTCCCTCTCCCATTTCGAGCTATCCCGCGCTCCGTGGCGGCCTAATCATTAAACTGCGGTGACAGCGGATCTGGCGCTCGAATCTGTCTTGGCTGACGTAATTAAACGTAAACTGTCATGCAGTGTGTCCTTATAAAATGTTGTGATTGATATTTATTTTCATAATTACCAATATGACTCACGTAAACTGTAAGGATGTTTATTCAGCCAGCGATTATATCAACATTCCTAATAATTCCAAAGCCATATTAAAGTACATCGGTCCGCTGCTTTCCCTACAAGCAATTGCCCAAACTACTTCCAGGCATGACATTGATTCGATACTCGGATAGCGATACAACAATAATTCAATAAAAAAGGAGTGTCACGTTTTAATGCATCAAGTGAATCTCACAGCAATCTCACTAATGACTGGTGAATATGTGTACTTACGTGATTGTCTCATCTAATAATAACGAAAATACACTGCACTCCAGCTAAGCGTGTGAAAGTTACTTCAGCGGCTATCCCCATGTACCTTTCGAGTCGGCTTACGTTGTATCGCCAAATCTGTCCATTGAAGTGTCGGCAAACTGATGCTCTTTTTGGCTGGCATGCCACTGCCCGGTATGGTAGGCCTCATTGGCCAGTTCTGCTGCTACATGCGGCCTCAGTAGCCTGTTTCCCTCGGTGCGTTCGGCCTCTGACCGTCATCGATCGGCAGGCGGCGGAAGAGAAGCAGACCAAGGCGCTGCAGGAGCAGCTGGCCAGCATCAACTCCAAGCTGGAGGAGGCCAACCGAACCCTCGGCGACTTCGACACCTCCAAAAAGAAGCTGGCCATGGAAAACTCTGACCTGCTGCACGAGGTAAGTGTCCTAGCCATCACCTGTGATGGAACGTTTGAAAATACAAGCTGTGGTAGCACACAATATACTTTATCGGAACGGATGTTGCTTAAAGCGATTGTAGGCATCAAAAGACCATTCTTGATGAATAAATTGTATTTGGAGAAAGGTATTTTGATGTAACCGCTGTCCGATGTCGCTGTATCAGTCTCCGCTGACCATTCTCGCTGGGTGGTGGTACCCGTTGATCTCTGCCGACCGTTTCACCGCCTACCGCTGACCTCTACTGACCTCTAATGACCTCTGCTGTCCTCAGGTGGAGCAGGCTGAGTCGCAGGTGTCGCAGCTGCAGAAGCTGCGCAGCAGTCTTCAGTCGCAACTGGACGAGTGCAACCGCGTCTGTGACGAGGAGAGCCGCGAGCGCGCCACCATCCTCGGCAAATACCGCAACCTGGAGCACGACCTGGACACCATGCGAGAGTCGGTCAGTGGCGGCAACGGGGAGGGGAGAGAAAATCGTGGGACGACGATACTGACATACGCATACCCTATTCTATGTCCTCAAATTGCCGTGTTATTATCATATTCCAATTTTGTAGTAGTGAAACGTCGCTCTACTTCAACTCTGTCCTAGCAACACCATCATTATGACTGATTTTATACGTTGATGACGAGCTAGACATGTCCGATACGTTACCGCGGTGCTTACCTCGACAGGTGGACGAGGAGGCCGAGAGCAGGTCGGACCTGACGCGCCAGGTGGCCAAGGCCCAGGCCGAGTGCTCGCTCTGGCGCAACAAATACGAACAGGAGGGCGTCGCCAGGTGAGACAGCCGATGTTCGCTGATTGAGGGTACAAGCTAGAAAATAGTTCGTTCATCGCTGTTTGATAGAAAATTACTTTGGAACACCTTCGGTTGTAGTGTAAAAGATGTAACCATGTCCCGTTTGCAGCCTTGTTTTTTTTTTTGCTGCTCTTCTAATAACTTCCGGAACAAATGACTCGGTAAGACTGAAGCAGCCTTGTGCTCGCAGTGCCATCTGTCCATCTCCGCGGACCCTGCTGACGCAGTGCCGCGCTCCGGCAGGGCCGAGGAGCTCGAGGAGCAGCGCAGGAAGCTGGCCGTCCGCCTTCAGGAGGCCACCGAGCAGCTGGAGGTGCTCAACCAGAAGAACATCAGCCTCGAGAAGATCAAGCTGCGGCTGACTGGAGAGATCGACGAGATGCACGTAGAGGTGGAGCGCGCCCAGCAGCTGGCAGCCCAGATGGAGAAGAAGGCGAAGGGCTTCGACAAGATCATCGCCGAGTGGAAGATGAAGGTGATAGAAACGTCCTCCATGCACCGTTGCAGGGCTTTACGGTGCATAATGAGTGTTCTCATTTGATCATCTTACCCTAAGGGGCTTTCGGCTTACGCCTTCTTCAAGCTTACTTTAACAGAGATAGAGGCGTCATAGGAGCCATCGCAGCGCTCATGGCTGACTGGGCCGGCATTTCTCTCAGGTGGATGACGTTGCCTCGGAGCTGGACGCCTCCCAGCGGGACTGCCGTAACTACAGCACCGAGCTGTACCGCGTGCGGGGCGCCTTCGACGAGAGCAACGAGCAGCTGGAGGCCGTCAAGCGCGAGAACAAAAACCTGGCCGACGAGGTCAAGGTAGGTACCGATTAGGCGCTGCTGCTTTCTAAGCACGTGACTTATGACGTCACTGTGACGTCATTTCAAATAACATCAACGCCAAACTTAGACACAACGTTGACTAGGTATTCAGAAAGATGTGTGTCAAGTTTCGCTTCTCTATCTCTTCGCGTTGCGACGATATTGTCGCAGAAGTAAAGGGGGGCAACTATATGCCTCCCTCAGCGGCCGGCGGGTAGCGCGGAGGCCTGGCGGCCGCCTGGTTAACTGCCGTACCATGCGGATTGTAACGTACACATCGTGAGCTGGGTGGGATATTCCGTTGCTGATGCCGTTTGCCCGTCCCCATCCGCAGGACCTGATGGACCAGATTATGGACGGTGGTCGCAGCCTGGCCGAGGTGGAGAAGCTCCGCCAGCGGGTTGAGCAGGAGAAGGAGGAGCTCCAGTCGGCTCTGGAGGAAGCCGAGACCGCCCTGGAGCAGGAGGAGAACAAGGTGCTGCGCGGCCAGCTGGAGCTCGGCCAGGCGCGACAGGAGATCGAGCGCCGCATCCAGGAGAAGGAGGAGGAGTTTGAGAACGCGCGCCGCAGCCACCAGCGCCAGATGGAGTCCATGCAGGCCTCTCTGGAGGCCGAGGCCAAGGGCCGCACCGAGGCCATGCGCATGAAGAAGAAACTCGAACAGGACATCACCGAGCTGGAGGTGGCCGTCGAGCGCGCAAACGTCGAGACCTTCGAGACCCAGAAGAACATCAAGCGCGTACAGAACGAGCTGCGTGAACTGCAGGTAAGGCAGGACATCTGATACGCTGTTTTTTTGCTGTGTGGTAGGAGTTAAATGACGAGAAAGTGTCCAACCGGTGTCATTTTCTGAAAACTCTGGTTTTGAAAAGTTGACTTTTAATGTCTTTCGTCGTTAAATTACACAGATTTGACAAGATAGTGAGGACTCCACCCCCTCCTTCAGCATATACGAAGACTAAGGGGATTGTCCACTTCATTTAATTTCATATTAAATTGCCATTAACGATGAACGTTATGCCGTCCACAGACTCAGCTGGAGGAGGAGGAGCGCTCCAAGGCGGAGGTACGAGAGGCGCTCGGCCTGTCCGAGAGGAGAGCCAACGCGCTGCACAACGAGCTGGAGGAGACGCGCACGCTGCTGGAGCAGGCCGACCGCGGCCGCCGACAGGTCAGCGCACTCTCCGGGACGACAGGAGTACGGGGAAAGGGGTCGCATGAACGCCAATGGTTGACAGGCCAGTCAAGTAGGCTAGCCTCTGAAGGAGGTACTCGGAGATGTATGTGGTTACTCCCCATCCGTTGAATGATCCGTTGTAAGTGACCTGGTCGGTCGCTTTCTCCAGGCGGAAGCGGAGCTCGGCGACGTGCAGCAGCAGCTCTCCGAGACGGAGGCCAACTACAACAGCGCCGCCATGGCCAGGAACAAGCTCGAGGAGGAGGTGAAGACCCTGCACGTCGACCTCGACGAGATGCTCAACGAGGCGCGCACCTCCGAGGAGAAGGCCAAGCGCGCTATGATCGATGCCGCCAGGTAACGAGAACATGCTTTTGTAACATGTTTTCCAACGTGTTGTGGATCTGCTTTACGCTCAGAGTTAGACGGCAGCACTCAACATGCCCGCCAATTTCGTTATGGTACAGTCCGGTAACTGTTCAAGTTTCGCTCACGTGAATCTGGTCTCTGAGCTCTGACCGTATCTTTCCTCGCGTGCGCAGGCTGGCGGACGAGCTCCGCGCCGAGCAGGAGAACGCCCAGCAGCAGGAGGCCAGCCGAAAGTCCATGGAGATCACCGTCAAGGACCTCACCGTCCGCCTGGACGAGGCTGAGGCCAACGCCGTCAAGGTAACCCTGGGGCTCGGGACAGTCGCGGAACACTACCGAGTGCTGAAACAGGACACATACGATAAGAGACGTAATTTGGCCTTAGAGCATGTGGTGCAACTTCAAAAGTTTTCAATTATTGAAGCCTCTGGTGTGAGATACATTATCTGTTGAAAGACTGGCATCCCAGTTTGGCAAGACCATGTTGGCAAGCGCCAACGACTCTTTGTAGTGTATTGCTGAAGCCCTGGTGTGGTGTTCTGCACCAATGGTGGGTGCGGCAGTATGAATCACACTTTGGCTTCGCCAGGGCCGGGGGCTGCTTGGTCCTGGTTCCCATCCCTCATACTGGAAAACTTGTATCTAAATCAAGTCTGAGCTGTGCTTATCGCCCATTTTGAGTTTTGAATTGTAAAGAACTTTACGTGTTTGATTGTGTTAACAACGGCACTTGTGTGTTATAATATCCTCCTCATGCAGTTCATTCTTCCGACGACGCCCCTGCAGCTGACGCTCTATTCCTGCAAACGACTCCTCCCACACCACCTAACCGACTCTGTTTGATCCACAGAACGGCCGACGCATCATCTCGAAGCTGGAGGAGCGTCTGCGATCGCTGGAGTCGGAGCTGGACCACGAGCAGCGCCGCCACAGTGACGTGACCAAGAACCTGCGGAAGGCCGACCGGCGCATCAAGGAGCTCGTCTTCCAGGTCAGGAACGGACATTTTGTTCGTTTGTTGGTATTTTAGGGCTCATCGACAGTGGGTTCGTTATGTGCTCATCGGTCAGAAACTAAGATTAAAGACAAACAAACTGTTTGACATTACAGCCGAATCGCCTCACATCCTGGACTTTTCGACATCATCTGAATCCCGAAAAAACAAAACGTAGGATATTTACCACTTAACTGGCTTTGTTTGAATTTCTTGCGGAAGCCTTGTGTTACCCTGCACCTAAATCAGATCCGCCGTGTTCTCCGCAGGCGGACGAGGACAAGAAGAACCACGTGCGCATGCAGGACCTGGTCGACTCGCTGCAGCAGAAAATCAAGACCTACAAGCGGCAGATCGACGAGGCCGAGGAGATTGCCGCGCTCAATCTCGCCAAGTATCGCAAGTGCCAACAGGTTAGTGGGGAGAGCACTCCGTCAGATTGTGTGTAAATGTGTCGTTCAACTTTAAGTGCCGCTCATGAGCAAGTTGTATGCGACGCACATCGATTCAGTATACTGACAAATATGCCTATGCATTGCTTTTTTCGCTAGTTATATGAAATAGCATAGCATAGATTAGCATGCTCTTTCCTCGGATAAATCACAAGCCAGATGGGCCCCCACCGGCTGCCGGCCTCTGTCGTCTGATCCCGCCATCCTCTGTCCACAGGAGGTGGAGGCCGCCGAGGAGCGTTGCGACCAGGCAGAGTCGACCCTGGCCAAGTTCCGCGCGCGCGGCCGCGGCGCCTCCACGGCGCGCGGTGTCACGCCGGCCAAGTAGACGGTGCACGGCGGCGGCGGTGGCGGGCGCCCGCCGGCAGCCCCTGGCGCCGCGGGCCCGCGCCTGTCGCCCCACCACCCTCCCACCCTGTCCCATCCTCCGCTTGTAGTACGCTAGAATGTCGCGGTGCTCGTGTGTCTTCACGCAATGATGAATAAAAAACCAAGGTGAAACAGTATGTTTTGAGATCGGCAAAGAACTGTACGGAGAACCGTAGTGGCTTGAACCAAGCCGGGAGTGACCGTTCTAGCGTAAGCGCTCGTCTATTATGATTGTAGCGCTGTGAACTGGGAACTGGGGAGATAACGTTTGAACGGTGTGGAATCTGAAACGCTCGCCGGTCGAGGGGGGATGGGGCGGGTGCCGTGTCCCATTACGCGGAACTGTTGCAGACCTCGTCCCGTCGCGAAGGCCGTCTTCTGTCTTCCGGGCTCATACCAACCTGCCAATAACCAGTGGCCATATCCAGGGTGGTGAACCATTGGGCACCGGCAAGTGAGTCCAATGCGTCATCAACTCGAGAGAGAGGGTATGCCACTCCTTTCGTGACTCCATTCACCGCCCTCATGTCCACACAGAAGCGAAAAGAGCCGTCCTTCTTTCGCACCAGGACGACGGGGGAACACCATGGACTCGTGCTCTCCTCTATCACCCCGTCCCTCAGCATCTGCTCCTTCTGTAGTTCCACTTGGTCTCGTATTGACGTCGGTATCCTGCGGGCCGGCTGCCGGATCGGGGTGGCATCGCCTGTGTCAATCCGATGCTGCACTAAGTGGGTGCGTCCAATGTCTCCTGAGCGCTGACTGAATATGTCCCGGTACTCCGACACCAGGCTTCTTAGCCGGGACTTACCACCATCAGACATGTCGGAGCCGTCCACGTCGACTGCTGTGACTGGTGCCGGAACATCATCATCGCCTTGGTCGCCGTCGCTGCCCCGCGGCGACCCGCCACCGGTGACAGCGCCGGCGTGAAGATCATCATCCTCATTCAGGTCGAATTCGTTGTCCCCCCGGTAGAATCGTGTACAGCGTCCCGATATCGCTGCCCTCTAGAAATCTGGCATCGTGGGAACCGACATTAGTCAGCTGTATCGGAACAGTGCCACTACCATCCACAGTCACCACCTCCCTCGGAATCAGGAGGTCCTCCCTCTGCGCCGTGTGACTGGGCTCGATCACTCCCTGCAGCGCACACGGGTTACTCACCCTCCCGTAGACTGGTACCACAGAAGCTCTGACGACGATGACTGACCGCGCCGGCACCACCGTCGTGGCGGCCAACAGAACTCTCGCCCGACTGGGTTGAATGGCGCTGTACGGAGGCAGAGGGATTGACATCCCGGCCAGTCTGATCACTCCCGCCTCGTCATCGATAACAGTGCCATGACGGCAGCAGAAATCAAGCCCCAGGACCAACTCGTACATCAGTCCCTTGACCACTGCGGCGCTGGAAGTGCCGAATGTCTTTCCCTAGATTTCGATTGTCAGGTCTTGAACAACCCCCGCGATGTGAAGCGGCTCACCGCCCGCCCCTCGCGCCGTCTGGGATGCCGTCGTTAGCCGGCACCCCAGCTCCCGCTAGACATGCTCCTGCAGACCATCGCGAATCATCATTTCCATGATGATGCCATTTCCCCATCCTAGAACGCACATGGGGGGGGGTGGTTGCCACCCCCCCCCCCCGCGCCATTTCGTTCCTGTTGGAGATAGAGCTTAGCGGTAAAGACCAAAAAGATTCTTTGGGAAGAGACGAATCCAATGATACCCAGTTTAACCTTCTCAGGTCAGTCATTGACCTTCCAGGTCAGGTCAAACTAAAAAATGTTGCTGTTTTGGGTCACCGTTTGATATCAAGTGCGCTGCTTATCATATACCGATGACGATGCCGTTTTCTGGTGCCAAGCCAGCTAGAACCTCTTTCTCACACTACCCGACCAGGTTTTTGCTGCTGAGGTCATTTCAGGTCAAGTTAGGTCAAGGTCAATTATATGTGTTTGTATGTCTGTGTGTGTCTGTGTGTATACTGATGTGTGCACCGATTGTTTATGTGTCCATATTACATGAAATTATGATCTGAGAAGCTTTTACCAAAAATGCAGTCAAAAAAATTCACAAAAAGTAAATTCCGCTTGCCTAAAACGCAATTATCTTAGATGACCTAGGTTGACCTTGACCTTGACCTTGACATCTGTACATCGTCCAACAACATGTTCCATGATAGGTGGGAGGTAAGACTGGTAAAAAAGGCCGAAATCAAGGTGTCAAAAGCTCACAAGGCCCATAGCCAACGCAAGATGTCGAGAATTGGCCATTTGGGTCATGACATGACCTGAAAAACAATGTCATATCTCCGAAACCAAAAGTCACAGAAACCTGAAATTTTCAGTGGACATCAAAAAAGGATAGAGGAGCAGCTATACGAAAAATCAGCCTTCTAGCTCTAAAAATGTTGAGTGCAGAGCAGAAAGACTACCTGGGGGGGGGGGTGTGGCAACCCCCCCCCCCCCCCATGTGCGGGCGAGGGTTAAGGGGGGCCGAAACGGCCTCCCCTACGGGTGGTAGGGTCCGCCGGTAGCCCTACGGGGCGCGGGTTAATATTTTTATTGCACAGCTGACTCTGAAGCTGCTCGTTACGCAGCCCGCAAAGAAAACGGCTCGTCAAATGGAACTCGACGGGGGCGTCTTTCACGCCCTCGTCTGGGTACGCGGCGCGTCCCAGCTGACGGATACGATCGGCAAAATCGGCTACTGTCTCCCCAGGTGTCTGCATCGCGCGTCAGTTCCGCCTGTGCATGCAGTGGACCAGGCTCAGAGCCGTAACGCACACTCAGCGCCTCGACAACCTGTGCATAATCGGCCTGGGCAGCCGCCAACAACGACGCATATAGGTCCAGAGCCCCATCTTCCAGCAGGGCCGGCAAACACTGCAGACGTTCCGCGGCAGACCAGGTAAGTCTGTGCCTCGAAACGGGTCAGCCAGCGACGCCATTCCTGCCAATTTGCACCGGTAAAGGGTCAAAGCCCATTTGCCTTTGACATAAAAATCAACCTGGGATCCATTTCTCACTCAAACTGATATTAACCGATCGTAATATTTACACTACACGATATCCTATTCTGCCGAAAATATCGATCAAATTGCCGGTTGCGGCTACCTTACCGTGATTCTGACTCACCAGCTCCGGTTTTTCGGTCGTGGCGTCCTACCGACCGCGCCAGTTTGTAACGTTTCTTCTGTATTTTCACTTTTACACAACACTATTTACACATCCGTCGACATCCCTCAACACTATTTACACAACCGTCGACAGCCCCGCGTCCCCGTCCTTTCGTCTGGCGGTCAGCAAGCCGACTGACTGCCACCACAGATTAACACAGATTGGAACCCGAGCGTCGGCGCCTTTGATGTCGGCGACCCCGCGCGCCAACGCCATCTATCGGCGGGGAAATCTTCACGTAGGAGATTCACGCACGCGGGCCGGCTCGCCCGTCACGTTAACACGGGCGAGCATGATGTCGCGGGTGACAAACGATTATTTTACGACGATGATGGCTAATGCACTTTTACAACTACACTCCGGTCACTGTATTATTATTTCCTCGCATACCTAGCCTTAAAGAGAGATGATTCTCGGCCCAATGGTAAGCTATACGGGTGCACCCAATCCTCCAGCGTGAATAACGCAAACACTCGACTCGAGTTCCGTGGCCAACAGGCCGTGTATGTATTTGGACCCGGCGAGCAGCAACATCTCTCGAGCACATCACACACGCACGTATGTACGTACTTACACGCACACATAAGTACATACTCATCTACATACAAGCACACACGTAAGCATACACGCACACAGGCGCGCGCGCGCGGACCCGGCGACCACCACCATCTCTCGAGCACATCACACACGCACGTATGTACGTACTTATGCCGGGTTCACACCGGATTCCGGACCGGCAAAATTCCGTCTGCCGGGCCGGAAAAATGGCCAATTCCGTGCCGGAAAATTGAAAACTGGTGTGAACCGGCAAATCTGGCAACTTCTTTTGACCGGTCCGGCAGGCCGGAGAGCCAGATTTTCCGGTCCGGCAAAAAGTTGAAATCATCTCAACTTTTGCCTTGCCGGATAGCCACCGTTTGTGATATGAAATTAAGGCACGAGGGAAATAATGTTATGTTTCAGCGCTACAGGACCAATTTAACCAACGGTGCCCTAATAGTCTCGCGATTTTTCACGAGAATATAAAATTCAAGCGTAAATTTGACGGCGTTTCATTTTTATTTCAAAACATTTGCACAACATTTGCATCTCAAACGGAGTGATAGCTACATTTCTGTTTTTGTATTTCACATGACTCATGGCCTTTTCAAATTATAAATTAATTTCATTGGTTGGAAAATATCCATGACTTTATAGTAAAAAGATAAATATTATAAGGAAGCGGTGAAAAGGGCGAATTTGTGGAACAACATTGCGGACGCGCTGGTTGTAGAAGGAGCGGAGCCAGTATCTGCAGAAGAGATTATCAAGCGCTGGAGCCGGCCGCAGGACAGGTAGCACAATGTACGTATTGCTAACTTCCGTCGTCTACGAAGTGGAGCCAGCCGAGCAGATTCTGAAATCTACATTCTACAAGACGCGCTGACAACACTTCTCTGCCCTCGATGCCCTCCTACACAAGCACATAGCAGCTCGGGAGGGTGGAGGCAGTTTTGCCATTCAATCGCAAGTAGAAGATTCAGGAAATACGATGGTACTGAATGCCAAGGATATTATCCCGCGCCCTGCTGGGGGTGGGGGTGGGGGGGGATATTTGAACCCTCCCTGTGGTTTTTCGCGATCATCTAAAAAACGGCGGCTGTTTTTGGCACACCTTATCATGCATCTTTTCTGCACATGTAAAAATTGTAGAGCAAGGTCACTTAAGGTCAGGTCACCAGGTCACTTCAAGTGACCTCACCTCATACAAAGTTTCAACGTCTTCCATATGCTACATCGAGCGACCGACCTCTTTGAAACTCTCAGCGATTGATAAGGGCAACAATATGTACACAATTTAAATCAATAACTATCTCGGAATTTTGATATCGGTGACCTAAGGTCAGGTCAATTTTGTGACCCCCCCCCCCATTATATGTCAATGGGAGAAAATTGATGCCAAGTTATGCGTTGGC